CATAAGTTTAGGACATTGTCATGGTGTTTGGGTCACTTGTAAGTAGGGACTGGCTCAAAATGTTTGCCCTGTTCATCACACACAACTCACTGAGGTTTTCCTTCTGTATTTCAGAATTCCTCTGGCTGAAGTGATATATATATTTTTTGGGGGTGTGTGGTAGGTTAGCACTGAGCTAACAGCTGTGGCCAATCTTTTTTTGCTTGAGGAAGATTGTCACTGAGCTAACAGCTGTGCCAATCTTCCTCTGTTTTTTGTATGTGGGACGCCACCACAGCATGGCTTGATGAATGGTATATGGGTCCACACCTGGGATCCAAACCTGTGAGCCCCAGGCCACCAAAGCAGAGTGCACGAAATTACCCGCTATGTCATTGGGCCAGCCCCTGCACTGATATTTTTAAAGAGTGTTGTGTTTAGCTGATGTCTACCCATATTTATGTATTTTGATTCAAAAACAGTGAAAAAAAGGAAGTAAATGTATGGCCTGTTCATCTAATGGAATACTGTTGGGAGTGACAATGAACGAACTAAAACTACACCTGACCGCATAGAGGAATTTAAAAAATCGTAATATCAAGAGAAATTAAGTTATAGGAGAATATATACACAGTGTGATTCTAATTTTGTAAATTCCAAAATCAGGCAAAACTAACCAATATATTGTTTGGGGGATATATACTAATTAATAAAACCATAAAGGAAAACAAGGATGACTAACAGAAAAATTTGAAACAGCGTTTACTCAGGGACAGGAATAGAGGGGCCTGGATAAGGGAAGGGCCCCTGGGCGCTTCTGAGGTCCCAGTTTTGTTATTTTACTTGAGTGGTGGGTACACGGATGTTCATCTTATAATTATTATTTAATCATATTTATCCATTACATGTACTTTTTAGTATATTATAATTTCACAATAAAAAAGGAAAGAAAGGAGAAAGGAAAGAAAAACAAAGGAAATGATTTGCTCGCCCCATTGGGTGGCATCTTCAAAAGGTTAATAAACTTGCTGTGTAAGGCGTAGTTCTCAGTCTGTTTAGACGCGTTGACTCGGTGAGGCTCATATCAATCCTACGAATGGATCTCCATTCTACAGGTGAGGAAACCAGGCTACGGAGGGTAAGAAAATTGCTCAAGATCCCACTGGTGGCCACTTAGTGTCGGGGCCCGGAGCTGCTAGGCTGGCTCCATCGCCCCCAGCTGGACCACTGCGCTAGGAGGCTCTGGGGGTAGCTCTCAGTGATCAGGATTTCTTTCTTTATTTTTACTATAGCTGTGGTTTCAGTCGGCTCGTTGCTTTCTGCCTTTGTAAAATAAAAGGGCATCCGGCCTCGCTTGCAGTTAGAGTAGATAAGCTGTGACCTTTCGAGAAGGTCGCCGAAGGCTCCCTGCCTGCCTTAAGTAGGTAGGTCTCCCTTGCTTGGGTTGATTTTTCTTTCACACGCAGACAGCACCCATGGCTCTACCAAAGTCGGGCTGAGTTCTCAGCTGCTCTTCTGGGCCAGGACCTCTTGGTGGACTCCACACGCTGCTCAAAGTTTCGACCCGCTTGAAGATTCTGGTCTGGCTACAGGGAAAACAGAACCAGAAAACCCTCCCAGGGCGATGGTGATGGAGTCATAGTTATCTCAGAAGGAATGTGCTTGACCAGGGGACCTGCTCTGCTGTCCTCTCATTCCCTGAGGCTGTCCTTTCCCCTGGCTAAGCAGGCACAGCAGGTGGATTACTCAGAGACGCCACCATCAGTGGATGGCCCGAGGCATTAGGAGCCCAGGTCCACTTCCAGCCCTACTTCTGTTTGCTCTGCAATTTTTGGGTGGGTCTCAACCTATCTTGACCTCCAATTATTTACTTACAAAATGAAGGAAGAGTGACTATAGTGTTTCCTGGATGGTTTCTAATTCTGGGCATCAGGCTGGATGAGCCGGGTGTAACCTTCTCTGTCCTTGCACCTGAACAGCTGTGCACACAGTAGGGCAGACCTAATGCCCAGTATGAGTGTATGGGGATTAGGTCTGCCCTATTGTGTCACCAACTCCAGATGTGCCCCTGCCGTGCCAGCAGTCCTGATCCTGATGTGTTTGTTTCTCTGGGGAGCTCAGAGTCCTGCTTTCCGCAACAACCACACACCACACCTTCTCCAGTCTTTCCAAACCTCTTCAAAATTCTCCCCTACTCTTCCTCCTCATTCTCAACAAATAAACCTCCCTTCCTACTTTACAAAAAAAGTAGAACCAGCTTGGAATTCTCTAATCCTCCTAATACCAAAATTAACCTCCCAGAGTCTGCACCCAACCTACCCGCCTTTCCCCACCCAACTAGAAGCCAGTCGCCCCGGCCATGCTTTGGATTCCATCCTCTCCTGCCTTTATTGTTTCCTCCATTGAAGGTAACATATCTTTTTTTCCTCTGCCTTTAAGATTTTTCTTTTTGATTTTCAGTAATTTTATTATGGTAGTCCTACATGCAGTTTTATTTTTAAATAATTTTGCTCTGGAATCTGTGATTAAGTGACTTAACGAAAGTTATGCAAGTTTAGGACGACCACCTGAATCTTCTCACTGGATTCTTTTGCTCCTTCAGGCACGAGGCAGCGCATCCTGCCGTAACATTTACATAGAGAACTTTTAAAATCAGAATATTTCAAGTGCTTTCTTTATTCACTTCATAAATATTTATGGAGGATGTACCAGGGGCCGGGCCCTGAGTTGGGTGCTGGAGATGAAATTGAGGGCAGACACGTGCAGCATCCCTGCCCCCACAGAGTCCCCAGTCGAACCGGGGAGGCGGATGTTATCTTCCTTCAGAGAGAATTTTCTTTTGCTCCCAGCAGACAGCTAGCGTGGAGGCAAACAGTCTTCACCCATCTGGAACTGAGCTCTTTCAAAGCTACGTTTCAGTCTTTGCGAGGACTGGTTCATTTCCAGTTGACTCCTACTCCTAGGAAGAAAGCCTTTGAGGGGTCCCAACTGGAAGGTTGAAGCTTCACCGAGCCCTTCTCTGTGGTGGGCTTGAACTCCCATTTTTTCTGTCTAGTAAGAAGAAACTGCTGAAGCATTTTTAAGCTTCCCAGCCTCTCAGTGACAGCTTCCACTTCAGCAAACACCTCGAGAGGACAGGCAGCATCTCGTGGCAGGCACTCTCATTCCAGCGATTGCTCTTTTCTCTGGGCTTAGCGACTCAAGTTCTGCGTGCCTTCCTAGCCTTGGATGCTAGTTTTTGTCGCCCAACCCTGTTAGATTGCTGAAAAGCTTGCTCAGCTTCTGAACCTCATTGCTGTTGTGTTTGGCTTGACTTCTCAGTCGTCCAGCTCTGTGCTGCGTGCATATATGAACAAATGCCCAGAGGGAAATGCTGCTCACCTCACTGTGCTTCTCTTCTCTTCAGTATCTCGGACCCTTGGGTCCTGGCTGTCTCGGTACCTCTATGCTGCCTTGAAACAGTTTGCTGTTTAATTCAGTTTTTTATTTGTTCTTGGCAGAGGAGTTGGTGTAATACGATTTAGTCTGAAGTGAAGTCCCACAGTGAATGTCAGTTTAATTATGAGAATTTTTCCTTTTTTGTGGAAGATTAGCCCTGAGCTAACAGCTGCTGCCAATCCTCCTCTTTTTGCTGAGGAAGATTGGCCCTGAGCTAACATCCGTGCCAATCTTTCTCCACTTTATATGTGGGACGCCTGCCACAGCATGGCTTGATGAGCGGTGCCATATCCGCACCCGGGATCCGAACCGGTGAACCCTGGGCCACCGAAGCAGAACGTGCGCACTTAACCACTGCGCAACCGGGTTGGCCGCTAATTATGAGCACTTTTTAGCACCTTCCTACATCCACCTCATTCCTCCTTCAAGCGGCTCACGCCATTTGCCAAGCTTCCCTATGCATTGTCTTCTATCTTTGCTCTTTTGTAACTCGCTTATTCATGCTGTCTCACCCCTCCATGCCTTTTTGAGTGTGAAAATTTTTTAAATGGTTTTCCATTCTAACCCTTGTGTGGGTGTTGACAGATGACATTTTTCAGAGCCGGTGACTGGGTGTGGTGGCGTTGGTTGTGTTCCTGGCATTAGTTAATTCAGGTCCGAGTCCCTCTGATGAGTTGTTGGTGCTGTTTTGTTTTTCTCTCTCTCCAGTGAGACGGAAAACCCCAGGCTTTCTTCTTAGTTTCTTTTCAGGATGCTTTCCAGCGTGGAGGAACTTGTTAGGAATTAGAAGTGGAAATCACTTAGGGTTCCCTATTTCTGTAGAGTCAGCGTTGAGATTGGTTGCATGCAAATGGGGGCAGACATTTAAGCAAATTTAACAGTGATAAGGCAGTCTGTTCTGTGTTTCGGGCACAGGCATTCTATGCTACTCGTCAACATCACCTAAGCTTAGAGCGCCCATCTACGTGCCCTGACTTGTGATGGCGGTTTTGTTTTTCATCCTAGGTCCCCATAAAAATTTAAAGACATTTGATCGTTGTCTTTGGCTGCGTATTTTACCCACTTTATTCCGTTTGCTCCTCGCCGTAACCCCGTGAGGCCAGTGTTCATTCTTCCATTTAGACTTTGACGCAGTGAACGAGTAGCAGAACCAGCATTTGAATGCAGCTTTATCTGATTCTCGGTCACAGGCACATAGCCCCACACTCTGCTGCTTTCCACGTGGCTGGTCCTGCCATGGATACCATCTGCCCTCCGAGAGCTATCTTTGCAGAATTGCACAAGAGACAGTCCACTTCATTCCAAGTGATTTGTGTTAAAGAACGAGATTGTGTAACCTTTATTACTAAGCAAAGCCCGTATCTGGTCAAGACAGGACCTTCTGAAGATTTCCCCATCTCCTTAGGGCAGAATATGTGGCAACTTATTTTGGGAAAGTACAAACTGGTGCATTATTAACTGAATGTGAGTCAGGATGCATGCTCTGTGTGAATTTTTGATTTATTTGATGTCTTGAAACCGTAACTGCAAAAAAATGGATTAACTATGAAGTAATTTATTCCATCTGTCATTCTTGATTTCAGGGAAGTTTAATTAGCATTAACAGCACTTGTACAGAGATGGGCAATTTTGATAAAGCCAATGTCACTGGAGAAATAGAATTTGCCATTCGTTATTGCTTCAAGACCCACTCTTTAGAAATATGCATCAAGGCCTGTAAGAACCTTGCCTATGGAGAAGAGAAGAAGAAAAAGTGCAATCCGTAAGTTTCTTTCTCTAAGTTTTGACATAAGATGATAGACTCATTGATTTTAAAGTTTATATGGAAAAGTGAAAGTCCAAGAATAACCAAGACAATTGTAAAAAAAGAACAAAACTAAAGGGACTTATATCAAGAATTATTCTAAAGCTGTAGTGATTCAAACAATGTGTAATTGATACAAGAATAGACAAGTAGGTCAACAGAACAGAATCGAAGTCCAGACACAGACCTTAGCATGCATGGGAACTTACATGATCAAGAGGCTATTAGTAATCAGTGTGGAAATATCAACTTCAATCAGTGGTGTTGGAAAATTTGACTTTCCATATAGGAAAAATAAAATTAAAATCCTGTGTCACACAATCTAGGGAGATTAAAATTTTTTTTTTCAGTTGATAGATACGAAGTGGTATCTCCTCATTATTTTAACATGCCTTTCCCTGATTACTAAAAAGATGAACAACTTTATTTATTTATTTTTTTTGAGGAAGATTAGCCCTGAGCTAACACCCATGCCCATCTTCCTCTACTGTGTACGTGGGACGCCTACCACAGCATGGCTTGCCAAGCAGTGCCATGTCCGCACCTGGGATCCGAACCAGCAAACCCCGGGCAGCTGATGTGGAACATGCGAACTTAACTGTTGCACTTGGGCTGGCTCCTGAGCAACTTTTTTTAAAAAATAATTCTTTTACTTTTTTTTTTTTTTTGGTAAGGAAGATTGGCCCTGAGCTAACATCTGTTGCCAATCTTCCTCTTTTTTATTTTCTCTCCCCAAAGCCCTAGTACATAGTTGTATATCCTAGTTGTACATCCTTCTAGTTCTTCTATGTGGGGCGGAGCCTCCGCACGGCTTGATGAGCAGTGCCAGGTCTGCCCAGGATCTGAATCGGTGAACCCTGGGCTGCCAAAGCAGAGTGTGAGAACTTAAGCACTATGTCACCGGGCCAGCCCCAAGATGAGCAACTTTTTATAGGGTGTCAGCCACTTAGGTTCCCCTTCTGTGAACTTCCTAGTCATAGCGTTTGCCCATTTTTGTACTGAATTTTTGTCATTGTCTTACTTATTTACAGGAGTTTGGTTTTTAAATCCGTTTTTAATACAATTCATCATTATTTATATGTATTCTATAGATCTTCTCCTGGCTGTTGCTTGCTTTCTAGCGTTGTTTATGATGACTTTTCTTGTACAGAAGTTGATAATGTCAAATTTATTAACCTTCTGCTTTAAAATGTCCGCTTTTTGAGCCTGTAGAAGAATTCCACCTGAAGGTTGTAGATATATTCTCCTCTATTTTCTTCTATTAGAGTTTTTTCACACTTAGGTCCTTTCACATTAGAACTGGAATTGATTTTTTGTGCCTGGTTTAAGGTAAGGACCACATTTTTCCCTCTCCCTGCTGAGAAAACTTTTAGCACACTGTTTTAATTACCAGCTGAGGAAAAAGAATGAATTGTTGGTCCAGTCAGACCCTCCTCTGCTCTGAAACCTTCAGTAGCTCCTCAGCACCAGACAAGTTCCGGCGTTGCTGTGGCTCTTATGGTTCTCTGTAACAGGGTCCCTCCTGTCTTTCCAGTCTTAACTTCGATTGCCCTACCTGTACCATACGCTCCAGGGAAACTGGAAATTGGAATAGCTATTGTTCAAAACTATCCCCTGACTTTTTCCAAATACAGTCATGTGTCGCTTAATGATGGGGATACCTTCTGAGAAATGCATTGTTAGGCAATTTTGTCCTTGTGCGAACATCACAGAATGTACTTACACAAACCTAGATGGTACAGCCTACTACACGCCTAGGCTCGATGGCACTAATCTTATGGGACCCCCGTCATATATGGGGTCCATCATTGACCAGAATGTCGTCATGCGGCACATGACTCTGTGAGGCTTTTCTCGTGTTTGTGTTGAACCACTTTCCTTACTCTACTCCCACGATAGAAATCCCAATCCCGTCCATTCTTCAGACTCATCTCCATTCCCATCAGAAACGTTTATTCAAGCCTTGACCTTCCAAGCACGTTACCTCTGCTATAATTCTCAATAGGACTATAGTGATGTGGTTGAGAGTATGGACATGGGACCCCTGGCTCCACTGTTAACATGGTTTGATCTTGGGCAAGTTACTCAACTTCTCGTGTCTTAGTTTCCTCACTGTAACACGGGGGTGATAATGGCAGCTGCTTCAAAGGATTGTTGTGGTGTTTCCCTGCATTAGCCCATGTGGAGCCTTCAGAACAGTGTCTAGAACATCGTAAACCTTCGACAAATATTGCTCTTCAGCAAGTGAGGTGGGAAGTGCACAGAGAAGGTAGGCCTAAAGATCCATATGGAGATCCCCTGGAGGCTTTGGCCAAATACTAACCTGCTCACATGCAGGACAAGATTTCATGAGGTCTGTCAAGGGACAGCCACTGGGGGGTGAGAGTTGAACAAAAAATCCGGGAGTTACACCCGGCTGGGAAAGACTGGTATTCTGACCATCCAGAGTGGAGACTTTGCTGGATACCCGGGGCATTCACTGGACTCTGAAAAAGACATACCTTAATAGTAAGGCTTCTCTAGTCCTGGGTAAAGGCTACTGCAACCCATCCTAACTAGGCAAAATCAAGCCTTGATAGGATCAAACTGAGTCGCCAGGAAGTGAAATGCTTGCTAGAACAAAACTCAACCCTTTCCAAAGGAAAAACATAGTCCAGTGAGGATTCTGGAAGATGGCAGAGTTGGAAGCATCAGGAATCCATCTCCACATGTAGACAATGATTGCATTGGCAAACTCTATCTGGTGTAACTATTTTGGAACTCTGGCGTCTTTTTTTTTGCTGAGGAAGATTAGCCCTGAGCTAACATCCATGCCAGTCTTTCTCTATTTCGTGTGTGGGTCACCACCACAACATGGCTGCTGATGAGTAGTGTAGGTCTGTACCCAGGAGCCAAACCCACACTGCCGAAGCAGAGCACACCAAACTTAACCACTAAGCCATGGGGCTGGCACCTCTGGAGTCTTTCGAAGGCTTGCAACTTCCAGGGGAAGGCTTGCATGGTATACTGGGGTTACTATCAGTCAATTTCAGCTCCTAGCACAGTCGCAGTGCCCGTCCCCCACCCCAACTCTTTGGCACGCATTCCTGGAGCAGCTTGCACATGGCTTGTAGGAGCCAGGGTGGGAAAAAGGATCCTGTCCTCCAAATACGAGGGGTCTCTTCTCTGATTGCTGCTTCTTATCACAGAGGTGCAGACAAGGAGGCAGCCACTGTTGTTGCATCTCTCCCTATTATTGCACCCCTCTTCCCCACTGGCTGAAGTGATTTTCAAAAGATTTAAAGGGCCAGTGCCCTTATTTGTCTTCTCTCTTCATTTTTCTTTTTCCCTTCTTGGGAGCCAGATACTAAAGACTAGGACATTAAAAAGTAACTGCGTATACAAGGAAAATTAGAAAGTGACCATGCATGCCCAGGTACAGGGTCAGAAAGGATCTGGAAAGACCTTAAGTTTACACCTCATGCTGATCCTTGGCACAGGGACTGTCTGCAATAATAAATTTAAAAATAAGAATAAGAAACAATAACAAAAAGCAGCAAACCCTGGGGAAGGGAGAGAATCTGTTTTCCAGGGTCAACACATTATTAGAGACAAGTGTCCAGTGTTCAACAAAAAAATCATAAGGCATGTAAGGAAACAGGGAAGTCTGGCCCATTCAAAGGGAAAAATAAATCAACAGAAATTGTCCCTGAGAAAGATCCAGGCGCAGGTTTACTAGACAAGGACTTTAAAACAACAGTCTTAAAGATGGTCAAAGAACTAGAGGAACTGTGGAGAAAGTCAAGAAAACGATGTACGAACAAAATGGGAATATCAATAAAGAGATCAAAAACCTAAAGAAAAAGCAAAAGGAAATTCTGGAGCTGAAAACTGCAATAAGTGAAATGAAAAATTCACTACAGGGATTCAAAGGCAGATATGAGCAGGTGGAATAAAGAATCAGTGAACTTGAAGACACAACAATGGAAATCACTGAGCGTGAGAAACAGAAAGAAAAAAGATCAAAGAAGAGTGAACAGAACCTCAGAGACCTGTGGGACACCATCAAGCGTACCAACATACGCATCGTGGAAGTCTCAGAAGGAGAAGAGAGAGAGCAAGGGGCAGAGAGAATATTTGAAGAAATAAAAGCTGATAACTTTCCAAATTTGATGAAAGACGTGAATATAAATGTCAAAGAAGCCCACTGAACTCCAAGTGAGATAAACTCAAGAAGACCTGCATTGAGACACATTATAAACAAGCTTTTGAAAGCCAAAGACAAAGAGAGAATCTTGAAAGCAGCAACAGAGAAGAGAATTGTCACATACAACGAATCCTCAATAAGATGATCAGCAGATGTCTCATCAGAAACTGCAGAAGGCGGTGGGTCCGTATATTCACAGTACTAAAAGAAAAACCTGTCAACTAAGAATTCTACATCCAGCAAAACTGTTCTTCGAAGGCAAGAGAGAAATTAAGACATTCTCAAATAAACAAAAGCTCAGGGAGTTGGTTACCACTAGACGGTAGACTAGTGGTAGACTCGACTTAGTCCTGCAAGAAATGTTTAAGGGACCTCCTGCAGGGTGAAGTGAAAGGTTACCAGACAGTAGCTCAAAGATGTATGAAGAAATAAAGCTCTCAGTAAAGGTAAGTACACAGGCAATTATAAAAGCTAGTATTATTGTAACAATGATATGTAATCCACTTTTTGTTTTCTACGTGGTGTCAGTGCAAATAATCAATAACCTACCTGCAGATAAGAAAAATATTTAAGGAGCTAATGTTGGGGACCAGCCTGGAAGTATTCTCTTCCCCAGGGAAGAAAGTACTCTGGTGAAGTGTGGTTTACAGCATGGTTAGATACCGTTTCAGAACAAAGAACATACATCAGGCATGACAGGAATAGAATTTTTTTCCCAAAGTCACAAGGAGATGTTCTGGCGCACATCCACAGCAGGTCAACTTGACCTTGGTTCTCTGGCAAGGAAAGCTTGTCTTCAAAGAAGTATTGGTATTGGCATCAAGGAAAGGGAGACATCCATCCCTATCTTTAAAGAGGGCATTCTTTGCTTTGGGAAAATGTTTGAAGCAGACGTACAATGCATATTCAGTGGGCCATAAATCCGACTGCTCTGGGAAAAACAAGTTTTAGGCTGAATCAGATTTAAACCAGAATGGCTTCCCCATATGCCTCAATGTGTGAAAACTTCTTATTATTCTTATTATCTTCATCAATGACTTAAGAGACTAATGCATTAAAAAATTACTAGTTTCTTCTTATTATTGTGACTTTTGTTTGTAACTCCACACTTTGTCTTTGACATAATTTAAGAGATTAACGCATCTTAAAAATTATTGTTTGTGTTTTTGGTCACCCAATGTATAAAGATGTAATTTTGTGACATCAACAATGTAAAGAGGTGAAGACGGAGCTGTTTGTATGTTATTGAAGTTAAGATGGTATAAATTCAAAGTGGAGTGTTATGACTTTAGGATATTAAATGTAATCCCCTTGGTAACGACAGAGAAGACAGCTATAGAATATACACAAAAGGAAATGAGAAAGGAATTTAACATTTCATCACAAAAAAATCAACTAACCAGGAAAGAATCCATCATTGCAGGAAATGAGAGACACAAAAGCTCTTCTAAGGCATAGAAACAAATAGCAAGTCAAGTCTCTCCTTATCAGTAATTATTTTAAATGTAAATGGTTTAGACTCTCCAACCAAAAGACAGAAATTGGCAGAATGGATAAAAACGTAGGTCCCAACTACATGCCAACTACAAGAGACTTGCTTTAGACCCAAAGACACAAATTGAAGATATTCCATGCAAATGGGAACCAAAAGAGAGCAGGGATGGCTATCCTAATATCAGACAAAATAGACTTTAAATCAAAAAAGGCTATAAAAGATAAGGCAGGACATGATGTATTAATACAAGGTTCAATACAGCAAGATGATATAACAGTGATAAATGTCTATGCACCTAATAACAGGCCATCAAGACAGATAAAGCAAAAACTGACCTAATGGAAGGGAGAAATAGATAATTCTACAGTAGCAGGTGGAGATGTCAGTACCCCACTCTCAATCATGGGTAGAACAACCAGACAGAAAATAAGTAAGGAAACAGGGACTTTACCCAATAAACCAGCTAGATACATGGGCGTGTATTTTATTATTATATAGCTGTAAGCTATATAGGTATATTTTATGTATCCTGTTTATATGTGTGAGATCTTATGACGATCAACAATTTAAGAGTAAATGAACGGTGAGGAATTGGTGACAGTGAGCCTTGAGTACCTTTTCCAAGAAGTTTGACTAAAAGGGAAGAAGAGGCCTGAGACTGGGGCTCCAGGTGGGACCCCGATCAAGAGAGGGCTGCTGTTCTATTTTGCTTTGGGAAAGTTGAGCCTGTTTCCAGCCTGTGGTCATCTGGTCTGGGCAAGCAGGGTCATTGCCATGAATAAAGCTGCCAGGGGAGCCAGAAGGGCAGTCAGTCTCGAGACCTGAGTGGAGGGAGGGGCCTAGAAGAGGATTTCAGGGGGTGGGCGGAGTACAAGTGGAGAGATGGTCTCTGTCGTGCTTCCTCTACCAGCTGCGGCCTCCAGACTCAGCGGAGGTATTTCCTGCTGGTCCTCGGTGACGGAAGCTGGTCCTCAGCATCAGGAGGCCAGGCTTTAAGGCCCCACAAGGGAAAAGCAAAGTGTGAGGCATACCCTTTCCATTTCCACTTTTTGTTTTTTTTGCAGGTTGAGGGGAAGTGATAGGTGGAGGGAGGACAAGCTGGCACATGGCCTCTATATCCAGGCAGCTTAGAGCACCTGCCACCCACGGAGCCCCGAGACCCTCTGGTTCCACGGTCGTCCCCAAATGGCAGGTGATGAGTGATGTGGATTCCAGGAGTAAGGCATGGGGACAGCAGGGGAGCTTCATGCCCCCAGGAACGTTCCAGAGGATTACAGCTAAAGACTGTGTAGCCCAGAAGCTGTGTAGCCAGCACTGTCATTGTTCCCTCGCGGTGGTGGCCACTAAGCCCTTTCCATCAACCCCATATTCAGCGGGGAGCAGGATAAAGAAAATGCTGATGCGCAATTCCCCTCCTGAACCTCTGCCCGCCCCCCGCTGAGCTTTCACCTCGCCCTCTGTGTTTGGCCACCAGGTACGTTAAGACCTATCTGCTGCCTGACAGATCCTCACAGGGAAAACGCAAGACTGGAGTCCAAAGGAACACGGTGGACCCGACCTTTCAGGAGACCGTGAAGGTACTTGCTGGACAAATATTCATGTGCTGAGTCCCCCCATCCCAGGCTGAGCACAAGGGACCGGAGTCCAGCCGATGTTTCTTCCAAACTCTTGAGTCAGTTAAATATAAGTGCAGACACCTATACATTTCTGCGGGCTCTGTCAATCAGTGGCAAGTTCGTAGAAAATAAATCTCAGCCTTTGTCCAGGAAAAGTGCCGTGTTGGCTGGACGGGAGAATAGCTCTTCATTAATCATTTCCAAGGAAATGGTGAAAAAGAACCTGGCTGCCTCTCAATTTCTAAAACGGGTTTGTCCTGTTGACTTTTTATGGCGATCGGAGAGGGATCCCAAGCACATTAACCTACTGAGTTACTATCTTCACCAGGGTGCTCCTTTATCATAACAGCTGGCAAATCCAGGTTTCTTCCTACTTTATGAAAAACACAGTCATTTTATGAAAAACAATTTTATAGAGGAATTGCTTGGGTTTTCACTTTCTTTGGTGCTAGGAAATATGATTAGAGACAGGGAGGGAGTGCCTCACGCTCGGGTTGAGAGGGGAGAGTCGGAATGATGTCTGGTGTGTGCAGATAGCTAGGAAGAACAGTCCAGATGGTGGAGATGCATCCAGTCAAGGCTGGGCAGCCTAAGGATCCCATGTTTCAAGACTGCAAAAGGAGAGGGCTTTGCCTTCCTTGACGAGAGGGACCTTCCTGAACTCCCAGCCAGAGGCCATCCGGGCAGCTGTCACAAGAGTCCCATTCATGAAATAATAAAAGCCATTGTTTTCTGCGCCCCTGCTGTGGCCAAGAGTTCATATACTCCCGACCCAAATATTAGAATCTTCATTTACCAATGGGGAAACGGAGTATAGAAGTATCGCTCTAATCTACCACAGACTAGCAGCTCTTCACAAAATTTATGTTCATGGGAATCCCCAAGGGATTTTTTTTTTTTTTTGAGGAAGATTAGCCGTGAACTAACTGCTGCCAATCCTCCTCTTTTTGCTGAGGAAGACTAGCCCTGAGCTAACATCCATGCCCATCTTCCTCTACTTTATATGTGGGACACCTACCACAGCATGGCTTTTGCCAAGCGGTGCCATGTCCACACCCAGGATCTGAACCAGCGAACCCTGGGCCGCTGAGAAGTGAAACGTGCGAACTTAACCGCTGCGCCGCTGGGCCGGACCCAGGGATATTTTTTAAAAAGTAGATTGTGATTCAGCAGGTGTGGGCGGGGCCTGAGGTGCTGCTGGTCTGAGACCAGGCCAGTATCCGGTCACTACAGCCTAGACTTCAGATGGTTCTGCTCACGTACCTGCTCAAAGAATTCTGGAAAGCTGTGTACCCCTCACACATTTTAAGTGGATATCTAAAATTAGTCATCCTAAGTTTAATTGAGGTATTCTGTGCTAAACAGAGGTGAACCAATATTTCACATTTTATGAAATAAGACAAAGATGAGGATTGACTATAGTTTAGATAAATATTTAATTATACAGTTTGATTTTTAAAGTTTTAACTACCTTCTTTAAAATGCACTTAGAATCTCAAAGAAATCACTTGAAATCTTTATCCATGGATTTTTATCCAACATATTGTGAATATTTTGGTTATCCTGGAAAACTGTCCAGATAGATTGAAAAGAATCCATGTCCCTAATCTATTTTTAAATTCAGAATATCCCCACACAGGCCGAGCCTTATCCTTCATAGAAATGTGTCTAAGACAGAAAAGATGGGAAGATGGAGAGGCTGAGCCATCATCAAGAGATTGGCAGAAACCAGTATTTCCCGTTACCCCTTTGTTTAGCGCAAGGGCAGGGCTGTGCAACCTGGGGCAGGCACCAGAGCGGGGTTCGGGCTGTGGAAACTGTCTTCTGCCATCTGAGAGAAGGGCCTGTGAAAGGTGAGGATCTAGATATTGAGCCTCCAAGCTTTCTAAGCGGAGCACCCCTTGGTGCGCAAGCCGGGTGTGCTGGTACCCCACTTGAAGACCACTCTATGGGGCCGATGGGAGCTAAGAGTTCAATAACTTGTGCTTTTGCTCATTATTGAGAAAAGCCAATGATAGGGTCAGAAGGAGGCTCTGAGAGGCTGAGGTGGGTCGGCCAGCTCTCTTGGAAAGCCTGGCTCAGTCCCCTTACCTGCGAGAAGGGTGCTGGGTCAGGCTCACAGGGGGCTCTGCCCTGCAGTCTCCCTGGGGGCAGGAGCCCACCATGGGCTGGGGGATGGGAGGGGAGGCTCTCTCATCCTCCGGGGGCTGCTGAGATCTCCGAGTAGGGACATGAAAGGAGTGCCTCTGCAGGACCCCCAAGCCCCAGCTCGGGCCGGCTCGTCCTCCACATGCCTTGTCCCTCAGGGTGAATGCCGGCCCTAAAAGCTCACGCTTTGCAAGTTTTAAAAATAGAATTCTTGTTTTCTGTATTTTTGGACAACCCTGGCGGGGGCAGTGACAGCCACATGCAAATTCAGATGTTCAGTAGCACAGGTCTCGGCTGGATTTCCAGAGCAGCTTGCGCTGGACAAAGACTTTCATCCTTGTCTTGGGGAGAGAACCTGACCGTGGGAGGGGGGCTCGGTGGCTGCCCAGGCTTTTCCCCAGACCAAGCGCTGGGCCCTTGCAGAGTGGGGGAAGTCTGTGCTTAAGAAGGGAGAGGCCCCTCACTCCGAGCAGCCTGGCCCACTCTCAACACACCAGGACCCTGGCTGCGCCTTGTGGAAGGGAGGCCCCTGTGGCCCCGGAGCTGTGGCCCTGGGAGCCCAGCTGACTGTCTCTGTTCTGCCTCTGCAGTACCAGGTGGAGTCCGCCCAGCTGGTGACCCGGCGGCTGCAGGTCTCAGTGTGGCACCTGGGGATGCTCGCCCGGAGGGTGTTTCTTGGAGAGGTGATCATTCCTCTGGCCACGTGGGACTTTGAAGACAGCGCCACGCAGTCGTTCCGCTGGTATCAGCTCCGGGCCAAGGTAACGTCTGGTTTGGGACTGAGCAGTCCCCACCCCCGCACCATGGGGACTTTCAGAGGCATCCAAGAAGAGAAAACCTACCCGGGAAGCCTTGGACCCAACACGGATCACGCACTTGTCTGGCTGTGATCTTAAATAGGAACTTCCTGGGGAGACGAGGCTCCACGTCGGGCCCTCCTGGTGGGGTCAGGCTGAGCGGTTTTTACCTGCTCAGGTTTGTACTCGAATAGTCCAGCTCTCAGTGTAGCCCAAATTCAAGCGTGGATCCACTTGCTTCAGGGTCCCTTGGCCTCAGCCGGGTGACAGCTGCTGCCAGCCAAAGTCCATGACCTGTAGGGGTCAGGCTGCTGGGCAGCTGGGACCACGCCTCAGTCATGCGGCTACAATGCATTGTTTCTAGTTTCCCACCCCAGGCACTCCCCAAACAGTGATAGCTGACAGTGATTGGGCCAAATGCTCTGGGCAGGCAGAGGCCGCCCTGACCATTGGGATTTCCTGTCCCTGCTCTGACCCGGCGGCCTACCTCAGGGCGGGGGTCGGCTAGGCCGGGAGAGGAGAAGCTGGTTGATTTAGGGTCTGCTCACAAGCCTTGCAGGTGAGAGGTGGGGCTGGGGAGAAAGGTTAACTTCTCTTGGGATGAGAAAAAGTGGGCTCCATCATCTACGAAATGACAACAGGACATGCCAATCCCAGCGGTGGAAGTCTGGCAGTGAGGCCCCGTCTCCACCAGGCCTGGCCCAGGTCCCACGTGCCGTTCTGCCTCTTTCCTGTCTGAAGCCAGGGGTGCTCTGATTCACGATGCCTCCGCATGCAAACGTGTCTGGTTTCCGGCCACTACAGGGTCAGGCCGAGGGTCCTCAGCCTGGGAGATGCCCAGTCCCACCTCTCCTGTCCCACCTCTCCCGTGGTCATCTCTGTGTGGTCTCCACAGCCCCTGTGTCACCATCCTGGTGACCTGTGCCTTCTCTTCTCAGCGCCTCAGTCCATCTGCAGACCCCTACTTAGGAATATCCACTTGGAATGCTTTCTGCTGTCCAAGTTCTGCCAGAGGCTTTACTTAATCCCACCTCCTCCGTGAAGGCTTCCCTGATTTGCCGGGGAGTTGGGGACAAAGAAGTGACCGACTCACCCAGACCGGAGAGCCACTCCTGGGCCGGGGGCACAGAGCCTGAGACGCTGCTGTCTCCAGTGCCTGCGTTAATCCCTGGCATGGAAGGGTAGCTTGACTCTTTACCAACCTGGATGGACTTGGTTGGGGCTTAATTTTACTGGAGTTTTCAAACTCAGGTTGTTCGCAGGTTCTCTTAGGACCATCCCATGGGAAAGCGCAAGGGCCTTTGAGCCCCTCTGCCTCCGCAGCCCATCTGCCTCGGGTGGGCTGTGTTTGCCTGGGTGGCTGAGCTGGGGGTGGTGAGGAAGGGAGTAAAGAATCACCATGAATGGAAGACCAGTCCTGCACGGGCATGTCCACTCCACCTCCGGGCTCTCCCAGGCCTGCAGAGGCTTTGCCAGGGCGTGGAGGTGGGAAGGGATATTTATGGACAGAGCTGAGGCAATCAGAGGAACCCAGAAGGTTCTGGGGGCTGGGGAAGCCTGCTTCTGAGTTCTGCCTCTTGCCCCCAGACAGAGAAATACGAAGACGTTGTTCCTCCAAATAACGGAGAACTTGCAGTCCGGGCCAAGCTGGTCCTCCCCGCAGGGCCCACACAGCTCCAGAGGCCTCACGAAGGTAGGTGGCTTCCAGCCCCATGAATGTTTGTCTGTCCCTGTGTCACCACCCCCAAAGCCTGGAGCAGCAGGTGGGCTGAGAGGTGGGACAATATTTTCCAGCATTTCCTCTGCCGCCCGCTGAGCCTGCACACTGCACTCTCATCAAGAGCTGTGAAGTGCGGCCTGGGGAAGGGTTCTCTGGAGTCCACGCTTGGAAGGGAACTGAATGGCGCCGAACGGGACCAGCCCTTTGATGCCCCCTTTAAAAGGCTGTTAGGACACCAACCCTGGGGCTTTCCTCCCAAGGGGCTGCTCAGATGGGCCCCCTGGTGAAAACAGGCCTGCTGTGGCCCCTCTTGAAGAATCACGCCCTGCATTACCGTTGGGAGTCTGGCTCCTGGAGAACCGAGAGTAGGTCTCAGGGCTGCAGGGCCCACAAGTGAATAACTTCCTGCTCCCGAGTCACGTGAGCAGCTGCTGCCCAGCAAGAGAACAGATCAAGGACAGGTCCTCGAGGAGCTTACAGGAGATTTGACCAACTTAGATAACACGGGGCGTATGGAAATAAAGATGGAGAGCGCGCAATCCCACCATGTCATTTACTGATTTCTTATTGATTGGGAGGGGAAATTCTGCTGCCGGAGCCCCCAGGGCCACCAGCAGAGCAGCAGCATCTGTGGGCATCACCAACCTCCTACAACAGATGTCTCGGGGCCCCCACTTTCCCCAAAATCACTGGCTACAACTAGACCAAAACCTCTGCATCCTTCCTCTCCTTGGGTCCCTCTGCAGCATCTGTGTGTAGGATTTTAGCATCCTTCCATGTTGCCATCATGCTGACCGTTCAGTGGAACAGCATGTGAGCAGGGCCAGCAGAACCTTCCATGACAGGCATGCTCCTCTTCCTGTCTGCTCCCTCGGGGCCCGAGGGTCCTAACACATCCTTTCATTGAGCTGTCACTTTTGGGGTGGCGGAATTGCGTGCCAACATGTGGTAGGGTTGACAGTAAATGCTGGCTTTCCTTCCAGGGACAGGCGACCACCCATCACCTAATGGTCAACTCTGTTTGGTAGTGCTGGGAGCCAAGAATTTACCTGTGCGGTCAGACGGTACCTTAAACTCATTTGTTAAGGGGTAGGTATTCGATTTAATCAAATATTACTTATACTGTTACTTATACTGTTCCGTAAGGCAACAGCAAAAAGTATGTCATTTTAAATTCGCCTTATTTTAGCCTTCCTATGAAAAGTCAGCAGAAGGTGTGTTAAAGACTCTGATTTCCAAGACCTTATGGGATTTGGACATGTCGAGGCTAGATTTGGAACACAACCTTTTAACCTGAAACCCAAATCTTATCAGTAAATCAGCATTTACCGACATGGCACGGCACAGAAAAGGTAGTGTTTAGTAAATATTCTCTTAGCTTAACATCTCCTCTGGGATTAACAGTAAGATGGGTGACTCTGCATAGTTCACTCTAATTCATTACAAGTGTGTCAGTGTTTCCAAAAGTAAAGCAAACACATTAATTATTATACAGCATTGCGAAACCCCCAGTCAGTGACAATGGAAAAATGATGGCTTACTGTGTTAAGATAGAACTGAGTTCATGTTCCCACTGTCACGTATCTGCATGGCCTCAGGCAAGTTACCCGGCCCTTCTGAATTTATTCTCCTGAGGAGAACAGGGTTAAAAAGAGATAACCTGTGTGTGCAGAGTCCTGGGTAGTGGGTCTAATGAGCCATGCTGTCACTCGCTGGACGCAAACAAGAGGGAGATTAAGGCAAAGGGCCGTGTGGCCTCAGGATCCCAAATTACCCTCAGTTCCTGGTTTAGCTCTTTCCTTGGCACGGATGGTCTCTCTGATGAGCCAGTCCCGGGAGGGCAAGGGGGCCGTGTGGAGGGCGGTATGACACGGTTTGTGTCGTTTTCCCCTCTGCAGCTGTCTCACTCTGCCAGAACAACAGAAACTGACACTCAAGTCCCCCGTCCTGAAGAAGCAAGCCTGTCCCCAGTGGAAACACTCCTTTGTTTTCAAGGATGTAAGCCCCTCTCAGCTGAGGCAAGCGAGCCTCGAATTAACCGTCTGGGACCAGGCCATCTTTGGTGTGAACGACCGCTTGCTGGGAGGAGCCAGGCTCGGGGCCAGTAAGTCTGTCAATTTTTATTGGGCCCAAGACACAAGGTTTATCCTTAGTGACTGTCTTGCGTGGATACCATTAAAAGGAAAATAATGCTGCCCTGATGGCGGGTGCTCTCATGGCTCTGAAATTGCCTAACCCGCCATAAATGGAGATTACCATAAAGTCTCGTTCTGACTCTATAACTGACGGATAATACAGCAAAGTATTTCAGCAATTTAAATCAGATTTAGACCTGCTCAAGAAACAAAAATTACAGGCCTCAAAATCGGCTGGGTACACTGTCTGCTTTTGTTTCTGGTGTTAGTCATAAAAGGATTATTTTCTTAAAGGAAAATACCTTCTTAACCCAAAGAAATGGCAACGCAGAAAGTATTTCATTAAGAGTGGGACAAAAGGGTGACGCTTTTCAGTCTTGCTCAACAGGGGTGCTCCTGGTTTGTGGGGGGCAGTCCTTTGTTCGGGAGGGCCTGCACACCCTGGCCCTGCCCGCTGGTTGCCAGCAATATGCTCCCCAACACTGTGACAAGCTGAACACCTGCACATGTGTCTCCAAGGCCTCCAACCGAGGATAAACAAGACTCACCATGAAATTACAATTTGTTTTAAAAGGAACACTGTCCAAAGCACACCCCGTTCCTCTAAGGAACTCCTTCCCATGAACAAACCTGGCCCCTGGTCAGAGACACCCCGACCTGTCCACGGCCACGGTCATGTATTAAGACGGGCGACTCCCTTCTCAAAAAACCAACCCACCAAGCCCGTTCTCTCCTGGAGGAAACTGAACAGCTTCAGGCTTTTGAGGCCTCACAGGCCCTGGGAGAAATTCCTGAGTGTGTTCTCTTGGGGGTGAGGGTCTCTCTCTTACTCACCAGTGGATGACATTTTAATATGGTCTTATGCTGAAGTGAAAACTTCCTTTATACCTTTCTTGCCGGTCCTCATTTTTAAAAAGCTCAGGAGAGGGATGGGAAAGTGGTGTGGGGACCCACTGTTGCTAATTTGTCATTTCACTCACGTCACAGAGGAAGATCCAGCTGGCGGTGCTGACGCATGCTCACAGTCAAAGCTTCAATGGCAGAAAGTTCTTTCCAGCCCCAATTTATGGACAGACATGACACTCATCCTGCACTGACGCGGAGGTTCCAGTTTGCAGTGGGTGTTTCAAGGGCTGCGTGCCTGAAGGTGGGCTGAAGGACTGGGTGTGGACGCACGGCTGGAAAAGGCCCTCTGCACTGTAAACACTGTCCATCTAGTTGTCATGTAGCTAAAACGTTCTTCTTTATCCCTCTGTGTATAGTTAAGTTAAACAGAGCAATTATTATGTTATATAAGTAAGACTCAGGTTGGTTACCTGTGCTTTGAGAGATGTGGAAAATGGCCAGATTTCAATAAACGTTCAAGTTACTTGTCTCCCAGTGCTTATAAAATGGTGAAAATTACATTGCACAGTATGTGCATTTCAGAGAGAAAAAAGGAGCCTGGCTGACTATTTGATCCCTCCCACTCTGCTGTGGAAAACTGTTTCTAGAAGCAGGTCAGCCAACCCTGTGGAGTGCTGTGAGGACTGGCATTGCGGGCTGGTAGGCGCTAAGGTCCTGGAGGGCCACCTGGCCCCACAAAGCATCGCTGACAGGTGACAGGGCTGCACGGACAGTCGAGGCGAGAAGGGCCCTCCCTCCCGCCCAGACACATGCGCGTAGACATCCAGTGGGGCATCTTGCCTTACACATCGTTTATTTCTTAAGTCTGCGGCACAGGGTTCCTCTGCACAGGACGACCTGACCAAAGAGGAAAAGGACAAAACAGAACACGAGAAGGAAGGATATGAATGAGCAGGACCGGCGGTGTGTGAGAACTGACATTTTAACGGCTTTTCAAGGATGTGGGAGCGAATGGAAATAGGTCCGGACAGGTTCTTCTTGCGGAAACAAGAGCCGATACCCAGGTCGCAAGAGTCCCTTCATGGCTGGAGTCTGAATTATCAACATAGTGTGTGTGTGTTTTTCAAACAAGAAGCTCTGATAGAAAACTGGAATGTGCATAGCCAATTACACGCACAAAGAACATGGAAAGTACAAAAAGGCATTTTTACAGAGGTGATTCTACCAGTTAATCAGCTTCGTTCCTGCCCTCACGTCACACCAGATCAAGTGCCGTGGTTACATGGTTTTTCATATGCAATTCTTTTATTATTCTGTAAAAGGTAACAAAATATACAGAACGAAACTTTCCCTTTTTTAAACTAAAGTTACAAACCCATTTTATCACTTACATATAAATACTATGCTCTATAGCTGATCATTCATTAGATGTATAAGTCCAACAACATAGCCCTCTAACTGTTAGGCAAAAAAAACAAAATAAGAGAAGTTTATCCAAGAGTGTCCTCCTCCTGGATCGTTTATCCTGGACAGTCCCAGGATTCTGTCAACTGCACTGAAGGAAGAAGGAAATCATTGTGTGTGTGCACATGTATGTTAAGAGAGCATCAGACTCAGTTTTCAAAATAATTTTCACCCCTCAAAATACATAAATACACAAAGATGGATCCTTCATAGAAATCAAGAACAAATCAATCAATTGGAGCTAATTTCAAATCCAGAAAAAAGTATGGCACAGAATATAAGCCACGATGTGGTTTTAATTATACTGAATCTCGTATCATACATGCCGGCATGGAGTTTGTTATCCACACTTGACAGGCATCTTTCCTTAATCCAATCAGTCCTGCTCTGAGCAGAAAATAGGAAGTGATCCAATAATAATAACAATATTAATAAAAATCAGGCCTGTTTGGCACTATGATACAACTGGGAAAAACAACCCAGGGAAGCTTCCTCTGGTCCCAGCCCCAGAACGTTCCCATGGAAATAACTACTCTCTTTTTAAAGGAACTGGAATACGACGAGGGGTCTAGATTTGGAGAGCTACAAAGACACGTTTTAGCGCCCGACAGTGACCCTGCGCAGAGCCCCGGCGCGAGGCTCGGCTGCCCACAGTCCAGGCGGGGCCCTCACAGGGCCTCGAACTCGTCGATCCTCTGCTTGGTGTTGCCCTGCCGGATCTGCCGCAGCGTCTTGTACTTGTCTCGGCCCTGCCTCATGTTCTCGTTGTGGATGATGTCATTGTGGGTCCTCTTGTTCTCGTCTCTGGCCTGGGACAGCTCACTGGTCAGAGTCTGCAACATTAAGAAGCACCAGTGAGACGTGACCCCTTCCACCAGTGTCACAGCGACCCTTTGGCGAGGCTGGGAGACGCAGACCCCTCCCCTCCCTAGGAAAAGTGGGTGCTGGTGGGATGGCTCATGCCGGTGCCTGTCTAAAGCCCGCTCGCTCCGGCTAGAAGCCAAGGAAGCCAGAGACCTAAGGAGGGGATGTGCCCACCACCCTCGACCCCCGGCACGCCCTCACCATCAGCTGCCGCTGCACACGCTCGTTCTTCTCGGCCTCGGTGATGCGCTTCTCCTCGTTGCGGTCGCCCAGGATGCCCTCGCTGGAGAGCTCAGCGCTGTAGCCCAAGTACTCGGTGCCCTCCTCCTGCGGGTTCTCCCGGACGTGGTAGCTCACCGGCTCGTACACAGGGGGCGGCGGGGGCGGGGGCGCAGTCATCACCAGGTGCAGCTCCTCCTTGGTCTTCACCAGGTCATCCTGCGCCTCTTTGGCCTTTGAAAGCAAATCAAGACAGGTGAGAACTCCTCACACAGAGCCTCGTGCTTGGGCCATTTTCTGAAGAACCACCTTCTCTTTCAGAAGGAGGCCCATTCTCCCTGCGGAGAGAATAAGGATTCTGCACCCTCTCCCGCCTGTCCTGGTGGCTGATGCACGTGGCCTGAAGCCGCAGGGAGGGGGACATGGACTACAGTCCATCAGAAGTGTCCCTGTGCAGGGTCTGGCTCCAGACCCTCTGAGTAGTTACCAGTTGTGTCCACAGCACGAAGAGAGAAACTGAGGCCAGGGGCTCGACATTTCTAAGTACCGTAACTTCTTTTTTTCTGTCTATAATTCTACTGTCCGCTCACAGACTTGTGAAAAACAACCCTTACTCAAGGAACAGAAACCCTCCAGCCGCTGGAGAGCACAGCTAACGTGCCAGTGTGCAGTCTATTCTTCCTCGTGCGGCCGCTGCTCATCGAGCTCCTCGCCGCCCGCCGGCTCTGTGCTCAGCACTTTCTTAGCCGTCACCCCTAATCCTTCCGGCAACTTCTCAGGAGGACACACGCAATCCTGCCCACCTCATCGCCACCCTGACCCTGCAGATGAGCTTAGTTTGCACCTGTTTTGTAACCAGTTTTATCACTTAATACCTTATAATGGGTACTTTCTCCAAAACCCTAAGAAGACTGAAGTTTTCGCATGCAACTCAGGCTGGGGGCGGGGATGGAAGTGAAGATAATGAAGGGGAGGCACCAGGTGTCTCCAAAAGGGGTCAGTGCAGATGGGGAAGCATGGAAAAGGACAGGCCAGGGTGGGGAGAGCCACCCACAGCTGGGCCGAGGTCTGTACTCTGAACTACACCCCGAGTGCCTCAGGGACCACGCTCTCCTGCTGGGTGTCAAGGCTCACAGATGAACCTCTCTGAGCAACCTTACAAGTTGGGTATTACTCCCAATCTGCAACAAGGCAACTGGGGCTCAGAGAGGTGAGACCACCTGCCCTGGTTACACGGCAAATTGAGTGGCAGAGCCCAGACCCTTGTGCCAGCCTAGAGCTCTCCATGTTCCAGATCTTTCCTCGGTGCCATGTGGCGTCTGCCAGGAGTCAGAAGGGACATGACGGCTTGCTTCAGGCACAGCCACACGTTGCTGGGGGCACCCACATAATCCGATTTACAGCTGGTTCCTGATGGGGCTGAACAGTCCGGGGTGGCCAGGGCTGGCTGGGTGGGTATGAACAGTCCGGGGTGGCCAGGGCTGGCTGGGTGGGTATGAACAGTCCGGGGTGGCCAGGGCTGGCTGGGTGGGTATGAACAAGGGGCTCTTTGTTCCCACTAATCCAACAATGTATTGCTGGCGCACAAGGGCAAGCCCATTCCCATGGGGATTTCTGCTTAAGTACAACTGGTGTCGGCAGAGGATTGCAAAACGTCCCCGAGGCTTTCGATGCGACCTGCCAGCCTGGCCCAGGCCCGCCCCCGCCCACCAGGGAAGGGCCCACGCACGAGGACTCAGCCGCGGCCTCACCCTGTGCTGCCACTCCTCCACCTCGCTCTCTTTGCGCCTCCTCGCCTCTTCCAGGAGGGCGATCTTGGCGGTGTACTCGGCGAGCTCCGCAGCCTGGCGAAGGAGCGCAAAGCCACAGTTATTTCTGGGATCCTTTCAACAGGGTCCACTTGTGAATGAACGTCACGTGTTTCAGTGAGCGGCCTCCCTCGTAACACGGCCACATCCCTCCCTCCTCTCTGGCCAGCAGTATCCATCGCCGCCCGCCGTGTCTGCCAGAGCGCGCCTCGCCCCGACTGCCACGTCCACCTCCCCACCAGCCACTTTACACCCTCAAGTGGATCATTTTACAGCCCCAGATCCAAATTAGGAGGAGGCAGGTGTCACTTTTTCGATGCCCAGAGGCAGCCACTCCATAATTCAGCATCGTGAAACTCGGGGACTCCTACCAGCTGCTCCTGGCTCTTCATCTGGTCCACCGCCTGCCTCTCCAGCTCCTCCTTGGCGCGCAGCGCGGCCACACGGTCGGCCTCCAGCCGTTCGGCCTCCTCTTGTGCCCGCTTGCGCTCTTCCTCCAGCTGCAGGGCCCTCTGAATCTGGTCCGAGAGCTCTGAAGGGAGCACAGAACCAGGGCTGCTCGCAGGCTCGGGGACCTCGAGTCCTGCCCGAAACCCCCAGCCAGGTGGATCGGATGGGATCACAGACAGGACTCAGACCAAAAGCTGCAAAGCCTGGAGCCAGTTAGGGGCTGACGGGCCTCTTCTTCCAATGACACCAAAAGGAAAGCAGTCTACTGTGCATCCCTACTGTTTCGATGACACGTCCTCACGATGGTTAGACTGCTGTTCAGAGCTGTGAAATAGCCAGCCTGGGCCCGGCTCGCACACCCTGGGACTGCTCTCCTGGGACACTCAGAAACTGCGCTATTCGCCCCACCTTCTAGTTTGTAAGGTGGGGGCAACGGAGCACGCCCCGGGCACTCACTAGATGTGACCTTGGGCAAATTATTCCACCTACTAAACCTTAATGTCCTCATCAGGGAAATGGGGATAACTCAGTACCTCTCTCATAGGACTGAGGGAAAATTTAAAAAGATAACGAATGTGAAGCATTCAGCACAGAACTAGCACAGGTGTTAATAAAGTACAGAACTATTTCATAATCCACATAACCGGTGCTATCCTCTCTCTCTACAAGTCTCTGTTTCGGGTGATGTGTTACACTGAGATGCACATTCTTAGATTTCCTTCCTGGTTGTGTGTGTGTCTGACCGTCTGTCTGTCCCTCCACAGACCGACGTCTGCCCGAGGAGAGCGCAGACCCACCTTTCTCCGCCTTCTTGGTCTTCTCTTCATAGTCCTGCAGCCTGAGCATCAGCTCCTCCTTCTCCCGCAACATCTGCTCTTTCTCTCTCTCCACGGTTTCTCTCCTTTTCTTCTCAGTTTCCAGTTGCTGCCTGTTTGGGGGGTAGAAGCGGCGCAGGAATGTTTAGACTCTGGCAGGCAAGCGTGGTGTCAACACGCTTCAACAGTCAGTCAACCGAGCAAGACGCCCTGGCCGCCACCAGCCCAGAGGCCAGCATGTCACCAGCCCTGGCAGCTGCGTCCGGGTCACCTTGAGTCCCCAGCACCTAGTCCAGGCCTCGGGCCTGTATCTGCAGGCAGAACGAAGGGCCACAGGCCTGTCCTCTGGATGCTCTGGACTAAGGAGGTGACAGCCCTGACCCCACCTCCTTGTCCCAGGTTCTGCCACTGCCCAGGCCACAGCAAGGCAGCTGCCATGGCTTCTGAAGACCCTCATGCATTTACTAGGTTACATTCCACTGGCTCTTCCTACGGGGAACAGCTCAGGCGCTCCGAGGCCACCTGACGGGCCCCGCGTCCCGCGGGAGGGCTGGCCTGGGACGTGAGCCGGGGAGAACGTGCCCACGCGCTCACCGCTCCAGCTGCTTCTGGTGCTTCTCCTCCCGGGCCTGCGCCTTCATCTGCTGCACCTCGATGGTGTCGGGCTTCCTGCGGCGCATGTACAGCTCGTGGTTGCCCATGCACAGCTGCAGGATCCGCTTGTTGATGCGCAGGCGGGGCGCGTAGAACACGAAGTCCTGCGGGAAAGAACACGGGACTGTGACTTGCGGACGCCCTGGTCTGGCCTTCTTCCTCCAAACCCGGCTTCACAATGTTCTAGACATCTTTTCTAAAAGGACAAGCGGTGGGGCTGGCCCCGTGGCCGAGTGGTTAAGTTCGCGCGCTCCGCTGCGGGCGGCCCAGTGTTTCGTTGGTTCGAATCCTGGGCGCGGACATGGCACTGCTCATCAGACCACACTGAGGCAGCGTCCCACATGCCACAACTAGAAGGACCCACAATGAAGAATATACAACTATGTACCGGGGGGCTTTGGGGAAATAAAGGAAAAAAATAAAATCTTAAAAAAAAAATAAATGAATAAAAATAAAAAAAAAATAAAAGGACAAGCGGAGCAAAGAGTAGGGGGCCAGAAAGGGGCTTCAAGGTAAAGCTGCTGACCCCAAAGGACAACAAGATGCCAGACACGCAAGTCCTCGGTGCCATGGACGCGGATTCTCTGGGACAAGCAGAGGGAGGGTGTGGGGTCGGCACGCGTGTGGTTGTGCACATGTGTGCCTGTGTACATGCAAACTGCAACCCCACGGCTGGATGTAAAGCTTCTCCAAGGCGAGGGACTTAGGCTCTTGGGAACCAGGACCCCCGAGTCCCAGCCAGCCTGGCCTTCAGGTTACCATCCTTTCTCTGTCCTCGCCAGCCCCACCCCCACTGTCCCCGATTGTTGCCTGGGCCACCACAACCTCTCCTATTGAACTTCCTGCCTCCTCTGCCTGGGCCTCCACCTCTCACACTTCTCCCAGCACGTGGATCCGGTTACTGCCGGACCTTCCACACCACCTGTTCACTCCAGGACAAGGTACAAGTGCCCTGGCCTGGCACATGTGAAGCCCTCCAGCTCTGGCCCTGACCCCCACCTTGTTCACCCCCACTGAGCTCTTTCATTCCTGTGAGCATCTCCTCCAACAGCCCCTCCTACTTGGAATACGTCCCTTCCCCTATATCCAAGGACACTGGCACGCCTACAAGAGGACGTTAAGGCACCATCTCCCATCTTCTTGTGACCTCTCCTCCTCCTGTGACTACCCAGCCCTTTCTCTGTGCCCGCCGCACTCAATGGAGACGCTGGCACTTTGCTGACATGTTTGGGTCTCCCTCTCTGACTAGATGATCGGCTGCTTTGAGAACAGGGCCATGTCCGTTCATGAACCAAACCAGTATCTACTGGTGCTTGATCCACACCTGCCAGGTGACTGACGTTTACACAGTGCTGCCAGATTCGAGCCCTGTGACCTGAGCCAGTGACTTCATCACTTCAGTCTTGGGGTCTTCAACTATACGACGGGATGAGAGAAATCTAATGGGACTGTTATGAGGATTAAATCAGATAATGTTTCTAAGGACTTAGAATAGCTTCCGGCACAATAAAAGCTGGCTGGCACACAAATGCTCACTCGGACCGCTGGCTGCCTTACAAGACCGCTAGCGGAGATACCCAGAAAGGAGAACAGACTCGCAGCATCCAACAACTTTATGACTAGAGACTGAGAAGTTTGGGACACAGAGGGCAAACGATCTTGTTTCCTGGCTCCCTGCTACCGCTGTGATGAATGCAGGTGACAGAAGGGGGAATGTGCCTTAGAAACTCCTGCTAAAAGTGATCTTAAAATGCCCGTCTGCTGCTTCTTCCGTTTTTCCTTTCTCTTCTCAACCACGGGACCCTTAGCATCCAGATTCCGACCATCAGAACAGGGAAAGGGTGGCTGAAACAAAGTCACAGAGCCACCTGTTCCACAGCGACTTCTGGAACCTAAAGGAACGTGCTGGGTGAGCTCAACATGCCCGAGAGAGATCTACGTAGCTTCTCGATCTTCTCATCTGTTCCAGAAATGCTGGGGAGAGAGTAATGCCAAGCCCGAGAGCCCGAGGACTTCCTGGGTGGGGCTCTCCTTGGGGTTTCACACACTTGTTATTAAGTCATTGGGTTTCCCAGGGGAGGTGTCTGTGGGGCTGGGAGAAACAGGTATTTTTATTACCCACCTATCTCTTATTACACAAGAGAAAACCACAGTGTGTTATGTGCACAGGCAAACTACCCAAATAGATCTTGACTGTGGCTCCTGAGTATTTGCAAAGAAACTCTGATTAGCACCAATCCCCCTTCAGGAAAACGTCAAGGACAGGAACGGCAGGCACCGTCCCCTCCTGGGGTCCCATCGCCCGGAGCCAGTGGGAGCATCCAGCACGTCCCCCTCTTCTCGGGGAGGCCGAGGAAATCCCTCAGGCTGCCTTTGAAGGAGGCCAGTTTCTGACTCCAAGTTAAAAATAAAAACCAAAAACTAATATTTATTTAAAGATTTCCAAATGCAAGTCCCCAGCCCACGCCTCCTAATGCGACACCACAACACGGACGAGAGCAAAGGCAGGCTTTCTAAACTCTGGCAGAGAACGGACGTCCTGAAAACTGAAACTGGGCACAAGGAAAGTTCCAGGAAATAAATCCAAGACCCTAAGAATACAGGAGGGGAAAAGGAGGTGGAAAAGCAAGCTTTAAAGTTGTCAAGGAGCTGAGAACGGGAACGAAGGAGCTGAGCACTGAGCTGGTCAAAGTCAAAGGCAAGTTTTCATTTCTTCAACATCTCAAAAGCGGTTGGAGAGGGAGGCGCCTGAGAGGCTCCTGCCTCTTCCCGGAGGCCGAAGGAACAAAAGGCCCTCTGCTCACAGGGGAGACAGCTTGTCTCGGCCCCCCACGGGGCTACTTGCCTGGTGAGTTGTATTAAATGCGAGTTTAATTGGAAATGACTGTGCAACTACCATGAAGCAGGAGTCGAGAGGCTGCAACAGCAGGAAATGTTTTCAGTGAAGAAGAAAATACTTTCACAGAGTCAAGACCTCTGGTTTCCACTTAGGCGAGACGAAGCCATACGTGGGGAGCAGCAGCTGCACAATAACGCCACACGCTGTTCCCCGTGGGTTAACCACTGCCCAGCGGTGCCCAAGCCCAAGAGGGCTCCCGGCACCGAGGCCTGGACCACAGCCCATGTTTGCCTCTCGAAGCCCAACACTGTAACTAAGGAACGAAAAGTACAGGGGACACAGAGTCCTTCCCAACCTATAATTTTGGCAAAATTCAGAACAGGCTCCAAGGGGGAGAAGAGAATTTTCTCAAGTGGCATTTTTTTTTAAAGAACCAGATTTCTCATTAGAAAACAAACTGCTCAAACATTCTACCACACTACAGTATATGTCTTAAATTTTCTGGGCAAACAATAGCTGAAAGTTTAAATGTTAGCAGAATAAATAGGAAAACCAAAAAGAATTTCCGTAATGCACCAGTCTTGGCAGCTATGAGCGAACAACCTATATTCTTCAAATTCCAGGATATGAAGACGAGTTTCTAGCTAAGCCTCCCAGGATGACTGCCCACCAGTCGTCTTTGTGAGGGGACGTCTCCCACATCAGCACCAATGTGAAGGTGCCTGCGCAAAGATCACTTGGGAAGGCCGGGGGCAGTCAGAGAAAAGCAGAGGCGTATGTCTGTCCAGGAGGAGCAGGTGAGGTGCAGATGAACTGGGGGGGGACCTGCAATGCTCTGGATGTAGGTCTGACGTCTCCTAACATTGCTAAGTTGCAAGGAAGACTCTGAAAGTCAAATTCTGGCCCTTGAGGACTGTAGCAGACATTGTCCGTACTCCAGCCGGGTACCAGGGAGATGCTGCCATGAGCCCCCACACTCCTGGTACCCCACCTGGGGGCAGGCTGGTTTCCCACATGAGCATGACGGACATTTCACAAGCCCAGAAATGGAACATCTGGTGAAATGCTTATCATTTGGCAAAAATCGATGACTCAGAACTGCCCTTTTCTTCATAAGGATTGAAGACCCATTTGAAAACTTAGGTGACAGAGCCAGCTATCTTTTGATGAACGCCTGGGCTCCACCATAATCTCCCACCGCTATGGTCAGTCGCATGGCCCGGGGGTCCTGACCCTCAGTGTAACCTACTGGCAATTCCTTCCCCCTACCACACAGGTAATTCCGAGTATCCCCAGCGCCCTGTCACACCGACAGAGAGATTTGTTCTCCTGAAAATGCATTCGGCTGTGAAGAAGAAACAGCGACCCCTGTGTAGCATCCACATGAACTTACAGGCGCCTTCTTGTCGATGGGCTTAATGACAAATTTTTTGTCATTGAAAGAGATGTTCCTGATTTCACTCCACGGGAAGCCAATCTTTGGGGTCAACCTGAGGTTAAAAGAAGAAGTGGCATGGTGAGATGTGTGCCTGGATTGGCTAAAAGAGGTTTGCAAATCTATTCCTTTTTTCTTAGTTCCATTTTAAAAAGTGTAAAGCTAGCATAGGAAGCATAATATAAAATGTATGTCATTAGCAAACAGTTCCTACCTGCCCTAAGCTCAGTCAGGTGGCTGCAAGGTTCATGCTCCAGGAAACCCCGATACGTTCCCATTTACTACTATTAGTCTTTCTCGGTTTTGGGCAACTCACTGCGTCCAGTCACCCTGGCTTCTAACCTTGAGGTCAACTTTTTTAGAGTGATTTCCATAATGGATATATACTTACTATTAATTTTTTAATTGAAGTCACATGGGTTTATGACATTATATAAAATTCAGGTGTACATCATTATATTTCGACTTCTGCACAGACTACACTGTGTTCACCACCAAAAGTCTACTTGCCATCTGTCACACTGTACACCGTGCCCTTCACCCCTCTTGCCCTTCCCCGGGCTCTTCTCCTCTGGTAACGACCAATCTGTTTTGAGGTCAACGTTGATTCCTAACCAGGCACATCCTTTCATCCATTGTTTGAAATCTCCCACAGCCATTTTTTGCAATCCACTCCCACAATACCACCCCACCCCTAACTCTCGCGTGCCCCTCTGCTTGTGTGAGTAATGTCCCTTTCAGTCCATCCATTCCACTCTTCAAAAATGCCAACACCTCCTCCCAGTTTCTACCAGAAACCCACAGTCCTTAACTTAGCACCCAAGAGCCTTCTAATCCAGCCCCAGCTTCCTGGTTCAACCCATCCTTTCCACACAGGTTTCACCTGCCGCGCCTTGCCTGGGGCTTCCTCCCTCCCCATCCCAGGACCTGCCTGGGACAGGCCAGCTCACTCTCCCTCCTTCAACAGTCTTTCCCCCTCAACCTGCAGTCTCTTCTGCTACAAAATGATTCTCTTCGTGTTACTTAAATTATTGTACTACTATTTAGCTCTTTGAGAACGAGGCAGGTGAGCTTTCTGAGGGCAAAGATCGCATCTTATGTTTTCTGGACAGGCTACACTCAGAGCGGCTGCGCACTGTGGAAACGGCAAAGGGCTGGGGATGGATTCTGTCCTTCAGGTTCTCACCTTAGTGACGCTCGTTCTCCTGGCTGGCCAGACACCTTCCCATGTCATTCCCCCAACCTTCTAAGACAGCACTCTGACAACACGCCCTTAGCGAAGCCCCCAATATTCTCCTTCTTAATCACCGCTAGTCTACCACTGCTGCAACGCTGGCTTTTTAATTAGCATTCCCCGGAAAGTTCATATGATTTTCAAGACCACATTTTCTATTTACCTCATGTCGCTCTGTTCCTTCATCTCCTCCACCCTGTTCTTTCAATGCATTCTACCACGGATACCATTCTAGAAGTTAACGACAGATCCTCAAACCACCATTCAAAGATACTGCCATCCAAAATAGTCCTTTCCCGCAAGCCATAAAAACTTTCAATTTAGAAAATAGCAGGGTTGGGAGGACTCTATTGCCTAGCAACATGTCTAAATAAAAACGGACGGGCAATGTAGGCCTTGCTATGACACCATAGGCCAGGCCAAGGCAGTGAGGGTGGCCTCTGAAGGCCAAGAGAGGCCCAACAGATGGCTCTCCTGGGACAGTGGTCATGGCACACATGGGGGAACGACGTCAGGGCACTGGCCTGTGATGATGAGTGTCAAATCTTTTTGGTGTACATCCTTTTTAACAGCTCTGTCCTATAGGATCGTCAATGACCACTGTAACACCTCTGGCCAACATGCTTACAGCACTTGAACATGCAGGGAGTTCGTTGTGTTATTTTATCTTCATATGTGGGTTACAGAATTTTTAAAGAGGTAATTTTGTGTACAGGTCTCTGAGCAGTAGAAAGGAGCTCAGGATATCAGCTGGTCCGGCCACCGATATCAACCTACGTCCTTACCAGGGAGGCTGTTAAGAGTGACACTGGGTAGGCATTCATTGTTTCAGAGTACTTTCCTCCAAAACACAAGGGCAATATGCTGGGAGCAACAGAGGAGCAAAGAACCAAGTGACCGTGGTCAACTCTCAGCCATATGGCCAACACTGCGGGCCAGATTTCCGACTCCCAAACTCCAGAGGCAAGGTTCTATTCTCTGCCTACTGGCTGACAGCTCTGATCCTGGAAAACTTGGACCTTTAGGCTGGACAGGCATCTTTCTTTCAAGAGTTGGGCACTGTGTCACACAGCCCTCTGCTCTCTGGCATGTCTGAGAAGTTTGTCTTTTTAAGACCCTGAAATCTTATCTAACAATTCACAGCCATTTATGAGTACGACTGCAGGGTCAAAAGATGAGGACTAATCGTCAACATTTCTGACTCACTTCCCGGTTAAACCACCCCCTTTAATTCTTGACCGTAGCTAGAAAGTTAAAATCTACAAGGATTTCTTTCTCTTTTTCTTTTTAAGGGTTCACATATAGGACATGAACAGAGAAGGCTCCACAGGGAAAATTTCTCAAGGATTTATATCCTAAGCCTGTCCTTGCTTAGGCCAGACATTTAAAAAAAATGTGTGATTCCCAAATAACAGGGACCAGATCTCTTTGGAGAAATAGCTGCCTCCAGGGTGGGAGCAGGGTAAGTCCAAGACGATCCTGGAACGTCTTCAGGTACCAAAAGGAAAGAAGTCCTCAGAAAACAATGGGACCATGTATCAAAAGGGCACAGGAACCAACTTGAAAGGGCTCCTAAAGGCAAATCTCTAACAATTTTATTATTTATTATTATTTTTGAGCAACAAAATAATAATAGTAATAAATTATATCCCAGAGAATAAAACAAAGATCCATGAGTCCACATTAATCTAAATAACTGAACAAATAAATGGAGGAGAGAAATTGGCTCCTTACAGTAGAATTCCAATTAAGACATGTAAAAGGAATGACTTTAAAAAAAAAAATCACCATTTCTCAAATACCACAACAATAACAGTTTCATGCAAGATGTATCAATGGATGCTAGAATTAATAGATGGAAGGATGCTAAGAAATAAGAAATTCACAAGGTTTCAGAGTGTTTCCCTGAAAAACGCTTATCAATTACAAAGGGAAGGATAGTAACTTTGCAGAGGTGAAGCCGGGCAACACCACCTTGCCCAGAGATTGGAGTTAACACCATCCGTAACAAGAGATTCTGACACCATGTGTCCCTGCACGAGAGGCCTTGGACGGTGCCATAGCACTTCTGAGGGATTCTTGCCGAAAGTGCAAAACTCGAATTTTATCAAGAGAAAACATCACACAGATCCAAGGTGAGGGACTTCCAAAGAGTCAATGGCCAGGACTCCTCGAAAGTCATGACAAAGACAGCCTGAGGAACTGTCCCAGACAGAAGGAAACTGGAGAAGCATGACAAATGCATGGAGGTGTGATTTCAGGCAGGACCCTGGGCCAGAAACAGGACATTAGTGGGACAACTGATTAAAATGGGAATACGGTCTAGAGATTGTCAAGAGTATCATATCAACGTTAACTTCCTAATAATTGGACTATGGTTATGGATGATGTTAGCATTTGGGGAAGCTGGGTGAAGGGCATATGGGAATTCTTCCATTTACTATTTTTGGAAGCTTTTAAAAGTCTGAAATGATTTCAAAATGAAAAAACAAATGGTTAAAAAATTTTAACACAGGGCCAGCTCCCGTGGCCTGGTGGTTAAAGTTGAGTACATTCCACTTAGGTGGCCTGAGTTTGTTCCCGGGCGTGGACCCACACCACTTGTCTGTCAGCAGCCATGCTGTGGTGGTGGCCCACAGAGAACAAGAGGAAGATTGGCAGCAAATGTTAGCTTGGGGCAAATTTTGCTCAGCAAAACAAAACAAAACAAGACAAAACAAAATTCTAATTCAAAATATGCCACTGAGGGTGATGATGACGTTCTACATCTTGATAGGAGCTTGGATTTCCAGGCATAGGTGTTTGTCTAAACTCAGCAACTGAACACTTAAGAATTGTGCATTTCATTATATTTAAATTTTACATCAAAAGCAAAACAAAACAAAACAGACTGAGCTCTAGTAAATAATACGTGTTTTGGGGAAAGTATACAGATGCCTGCAAATTACTTTGCGATGTGTCTGAAAAAGAGAGGGCCAGAGGGTCCCATGAGGTGTGCACGGGGAGAGACGCGACAAAGGAGTGAAACGCTCATGGCAGAACCTTGGCTGTAGGCACACGGGCGTTCACTGCGAAATGCTTTCCATTTTGCAGTTTGTTCGGAATTTTTCATTAAAAAAGTTTAGAAAAGGTCTGGGCTGGCGGATGGGCTGGAGATCACCATGTGCCACACAGACAGGAAGAAGAGCTGAGTCATCACCCCAGGCAGTGATGGGCAGTGATAACTCGGCTGGAAAAGCTCTGCCTACTTCTACAATGGAACAAAACACTCATTGGCTGATCGGGCTCTGCCCTCCCTACAGGGGAGGAGGGGCCTGTCCAGGGGGCACTCCGGCCTCTCTGCGGGGCAGGCCCACAGGGGACTCCCCCCACACTTGCCTTCTCAACCACCCGCTGCTGAGCCATTCTGAAAAGGCTCCCCGGCTTCTCCTCGGCCCCTCTAACATGCCTGAATATGTCACAGGCCAAACTCGCCTCTCGGCTGGAGTCCCTGCCACAGCAAACTTCTGGAAGAGACCAGGTCATTCGGAAAATTCTGTCTGTTCCACATTCCAGTTAGGGTTCCAAAGACCAGAGAAGAGAGGATGGTCTGACACATGCGATCCCAGCATATCTTGTAAAACAAAACTCACACCCATTAGTAGAAGTGCTTTTTGCTCTCCTCTCTCATCCAGCGAAGCCACTGACAACAGGGCACAAAGATGGAAGACCGACCAAAATTTCAGAAACTGGAAATAATTTATTTAGATGGCTGGTTGACTGTAATATGCTCGAAACATCCTTTCTACAAGTGAATAAAATGGAACCGTAAGTCAGAGAACATCTGATTTACAACCGTGAGGGATTTAAGGGGAAGGACACTTGGCTCTTGTTTTGGCCTCCAACTCGTCTCTTTCCAGCGTCCTCTCTGTCCCTAAGAGGGTGCGTGGAGTTGCCTGGCAGGAGCTGCATCAGAAACTCCTCCCACAGAAGCACCAACGAGAGGTGAGCCCTGGAGGGATGGCACGGAGGGGAAACCTGCTTTCAAAGGACCAAAGAGCTCGGGAACAGGATCAGGTTCCTCTCATTTCTGTATTGCTTTGGTCTGCGGATGCCAGGGGAATTATAACACCGCTAATCTGAACTTTCTCTGTTCCCAAGCTGAAAATGCCTTTCAGAGAGGGGGTCTGCCATTTCCTCCCTTTCTCTACTCCCCTCCCCTTTGGAGCTAAGGGTTTACAGAAAGCAACAGAAAAGAAATGCTTTCAGTCCTAGATGCTCCCACTTAATGGTCACGTACAAAATGAAAAAGGGCCCTTAAGAGACACTTCCCATTTGGAGCACATTTAATACTCCAAAGGATAAATATTTTGGTAAAATAAAGAGGTATTTGTTTATTTGCAGGGTGTGCTAAGCCTCTGACCACTTGACTTACATACTCAATACTGTATAGCCGCTCTCTCACTTGAACAAGGCTCCAAGAACATCCAAGACTCCACTGTCAGGGCCACAGCTGAGGGCAGTACATCAACAGGTGACAAGAGTTGTCACAGCATCCTTCAGACTTGAGCCACGGTCGCTGGCTTATCCTGGTCACCAGGTTATCAATATTTGTTTAAAAGGAGAAGAACTTCGGCCTACTGACAGATGTAATGTTAGGGTAAGTGTTTTTTTATCATTGAAAAGAGGGGTGCTTCAGGAACGGGAAGAAGAGAGGCAAGAAGTGCCCCCCTTTTTGGGGAGAAGACCCCTTTGAGAGGATTGTCAGTTTCACTGCTAAATTGGGGACAGGAGAAGGAGAGCAGAAACAGGACTGAAGGAGCCACGAAGCTCAAACTCTTACTTGGAAAAACCCGAACATTTACATGGACTGGGGGTAGGTACAAGCCGACAGGGGTGAGTTCCTGCCTACGGCTGTATCTGCAGCTCGAAAAACCTGTTTGGACAGCCTGGCTGTGGCTACATTACAAAATCTGGTCATTCAAGAAATGAGCTCAAAGACAGAGGCAGGTCCCCACACCCATTCCCATGAGGCCGCTGTGTCCTCTCACTTCGTGGGCTGCCCCTCGGCACGGCTGGGCCAGCCAGCCACCATCCCCCAGCCCAGGGGCCTCCCGAGTCCCCCTTCCTCCCCACACTGTTCACGGTTCTCTGCAACACTGGATCTAGCACACTTGCGGAAGGAGCAAACCAAGAGTCCTCAGTAATTCACTTCTAGGTTCTCGGAAGAGTTCCTGTGATTCTCATGCGTGCATCGTCATTTGTGTAACCAGAGTCATCCCCGACTAACAGCATGCCTTCTGGGAGAGAGGGACCCCTCCTCGGGGGCTCCTAACCAAGCGTGACTCCATCCTATTCAGGCACGAAGCAGAGGGCTGGGGATGTCTGAGCCGCGTCCCTGCCCCGCCCACAGGAAACGTATCTGTACTGGTTTCTGGCAAGAGTACACATGGCTCGGATTATAGACAGACGCTTTATGTGATACCATTTGTCAAAAGCAATGCCACGCCCCTCGTGAATGCCAGAGAGGGAGTTTCTGGGGAATCTGGATGTGGGTGCTGAAAGCATTAACATCTGAGAACGGGTAAGATGGGTGAGGTGCAAGCAGGAAATGTGGGAGGAGTTGTCGCTCGCAGAAACGGGGTAGAACTGTGGAAAACATGCCCTCACTGAATTTTATTTTATTTTTATATCTAAAATTTTTTTTTCCTTCGCTGAATTTTAGAATGATTTTTTTCTGTGTATCTAGATCCTTGGCAGAAAGATGCAGTGTTTGTCACCAGGGGGATGGGCAAAGGAAGCCAGTGGGAGTGGGGAGCCCGGCCGGCTTGATCGCGCCTCAGCATTGCAGACCACACCCGACACACTACGGAATGTGCGGCAGCTGGAGATCTCCCGCAGGTTCAGAGGATTTTGCTAAACTCTCTGTACGTAAGGGCTATTGTTTACAGAATCCTAAGGTCTCTGACAGCCCTGTAAATATTCTTGGTTGGATTAGCACTGACCTCGAGCCGCCCAGCACTGCCAGGCTGCCTGGGTGGCAGCTATGGGTGTGCTGGTGCCCAGAGGCGGCTGGCGGGGGCCTCAGTGGAAGGTGAGGGGGATGCCTTCCTGCAGCTCCCCTTCTGCCCTCTTTTCACAGGCTCCAGAGTCTGTGAGGTCAGAGACCCTCTCGGTCACCCAGCTGGGCCCCTCAGCACAGGCCACACGTGCTAACGAACAGGCTACAGTGACAGGACAGAACTAACGCACACCTCTGAAAACTCTCCAAGATGGCCACGTCACAGTCGAAAAGCCCTTGAAGATTCACACACGGGGCCAGTAAGTTGCTAGAAAAATACTTCAGCAGTAACCCACATGCATAATTGCCATTTTCTCCACTGTTTCCAGACCCGAGACCCTACCCACTGAAAATAATAAAGTTCAACTCACTTATCATCTTTCTCATAAATATTCAGTCCAAGGGCATCGACTCCAAGCCAAAGGTCTGTTCCTTTCTTATTTTTTATCTCAAAATAGTTGATTCCATACATTTCCAGGTCCTGGGCAATCTTCAGATACTCCAGCATAGCATTATCTCTGGTTGGGGGAATAAAGATTGGCATCATCATTAGCACGCTACATTCTGACCAGGACCACTGCCAGAATCTTGAACGTAAGGCAGATCACACAGGACGGGCACACAGCTACGTGCTGTCCCTCTGCTGGCCATCCACGCCTGAGCCCTGAGTGGGCCCCGGGCTGACCTCTGACACATTCTACACACTCGGAAAGAACTGAACTGACTCACACTGGTTTCTCTGGATGCAGAAGAGTTTCCTTTTAAATTTTATTATGAGGCACAAGCTTCCTTTCTCTTGCCCACACGGTGCTTCAGGGACTCCCACAGTTCCCTGCACCATGTCAGCGCTTAGGCTTGAGTTATTTCCCTCCAGAGAAGACGCTGGGGTCAGCCAGGAAATGAAGACAGCGTCTCTGAGGCCCCAGTGCAAACGCACTTCTGAGGCTGAGGCAGTGCACAGGATCGCTGCCGACGCCCGAGAGGAGGATCCTAGGACAGCAGAGAATCTGGCAATGTCTTCCACGTAACAGCCACCTGTCACAGCATGTCCCTCCTTCATGCCTCGCTTGTGCTACTGAGCAAGTGTTTCTCACTTGGGATCAATTTCTTTCCATTTACACACTTCTGAAGGCAACCACCTTCCAGACAATGAACAAACCAGCTTCTCTGAGACAGAGAGCAGGCTTTAGGGCCTGAAGGCGTAAATGAAACTGCTTCTTGCCCCAGGCAAGAACACCTGGCTTTGTTTAAGGAAAAAAACCTCACTTGCAGCTCTGTGCACTGCTCCACCAGACGCTGGGACGGGAGCCTGGTCCAGCGGCTCCTGAAGCTGACCACCCTGAGGACCCTAACTGGGGTCACTTACAAAGAAGACAAGAGAACGGGCTGGAGCGGCCAGCCCAGCACTCACTTGAGCATCCCGCGGTGCTCCGCGTGCCACACCTGGATTCGGTCCTCCCACTGGTCCCGGGTCAGCTTGTGCTGGTCCATGACTCTGGAGTGGAAAGGAAGATGGCACAGGACTGTCACCCCAAAGGACCATGAGAGGTGAGCAACAGGCCACTGCCCATCCTCACACAAACCGGGACTTTTCTTTCAAATAAAATCACCACAAAGAAGAGCATTTGTTTCTACTTCCTAATGTGCGGGTTTTCTATTTATTTATTTATTTATTTATCTATCTATCTTTGGGAAGACTAGCCCTGAGCTAACATCTGCTGCCAGTCCTCCTCTTTTTGCTGAGGAAGACTGGCCCTGAGCTGACATCCATGCCCATCTTCCTCTGCTTTATATGTGGGACGCCTACCACAACATGGCTTGCCAAGCAGTGCCATGTCCCCACCTGGGATCTGAACCAGCGAACCCCGGGCCGCTGAGAAGCAGAACGTGTGAACTTATCCGCTGTGCCACCGGGCCGGCCCCCGAGTTTTCTATTTATGATAATTAACAATCTGGAAGATTTAGAGTCAGGACTGGGACAAACCCAGGCCTGCTGGAAAAAACTTTAAAAAGGTATTTTACTTTAAGAGGTCTCTTCTTCCAAAGGCGGCAATTTATGTGACCATTAGGGAATAAAAACAGATTTAACAGAGGCCAAATGATTACAACCAGGGAGAGCTAAGTGCTTTGATTATGTTATAGGACAGGGGCTCTTCGGTTCCCGTGAGGAGGAACGGTCCCCTCCCTGCCATGTTTCTTCGTCACAGACCCTGTTCAGGTGGACCACGTAGGGGAGACGGTGTGCTGGGCGAAGGCTGGAGCACGTGATGCAAACACACAGATTAGGAAAGGACCAGAGCCCCAGCTCAGGGAGCACTGCCCTTTGCCAAAGTCCTTGTGCTTCTGACCGCTTCTTCTGACACACCACCTGCGCCTTTCGAGGATGCCAACCACTGCCCTCACCCAGGCCTGGCCGCCTCCTGCTCACCTTTGGGGGATCAGCCGCTCAGAGCCTAGGTACCCAGACTTGTGCGTTTCTTTGTTATAGTCTCCAAACTTGGCCTGCACAGCGTAGGAGCCGAGGAGCACGGCGGTCTCAGGGGGGCAGTAAATCTCATCGCTGAGAATGCCGTCCTTCACTTGCAGGAAGAAAAGCTTCTGCGTGATGTCCTGGATGAGCTCCTCGGACACATCCTCGGGGTAGAACTTGGCCCTGAACTTGAATTGGAGCGGATTCTCCTTTCTGACCTCCTGGGCGGACACCTGGACAACAGAAGCCAAACTCTCATGACAAGTTCGGAAGACGAAGACCTGCCTTCCCAAACAGGTTTCTAACCACTCACTCAAAGGGTCCGTTTTCAGAAGAGAATGTTTATTCTGAAAGTCACCTTTTTAGCGTGTGAGATAAAAAAAGGCCAAAGTCCTATTACCCTCCCACACTCAGCTGAAGTCTGGCAACAGCCAGTTACTGGCCACCAAGCCCACAAGCTCTGGTTTTCGAGGATGATGCTGGCAATTCCAGAGAACTCGAATTTGGGGACAATCTGCCCTAATGACCTGTGAACCCAGCACCTGTCCACGTGGCCAGTCCAGCCCTCGACCACAGATCATAATTTTAATGATTCCTCATGTTCCCCCCCTTTCACATCCCCAACTACCATCCTGACTTGTTAAGAGTAACATAAGAGGAAAGCAGGGATTTAGGAAAATGGACATTTTCAAATTGTTTGCAGAAAACGCAGAGCTTACTGCTTTTCTTTATAACTGTTAATGGAATTATCCAGTCTTTGGAGTTGGAAGATAATCTATCACAGGTTCAAACAAAGCAATAACAGGTTCTTACCAAACAGTGGATGATTCATGGTTTATGAGATTAACAATCTCATTGAAAAAAAAAATACCTAAGGTCAACCAAAAGCTAAGCAATTAATTATCATATGCTCCAATGAGTGAGCAGTAAGGAGAAATGCCAGGATCTGATTTCCAACCAATATCCCCCTTTACTGGAAACCTGCAACCTTTTCGTGTATGAAAACTCTTACACAAATAAAAAGGAACAAAAAACAAAAGACAGAGTGAGGTGCTCCAGTTTCAACGTCAACGGAGCAGACCAACACCCAATTAATAGCCTGTAAATAGTTAACTCTAACTTACCTTTTTATCAAGTTTCAACCAGGTAGGAAATCCTTTATTATCCACATACTGGAGGCCAAAGTACCACACTTCCCGAAGGCCGATAGTCTTAACCACCTGTGAGAAAGACAGAGAGAGGGGAGGGCTGGAGCGGCCCCAGAAACTCGGAGGGGCAGCTGCTCTGGAAGCAGCCACGGTCATGTGGTTCAGCCGACTTGCCAAGGGAGCCAGGCGCCAGCTGCTCGGCCACACCGGCCATGCCTCACCCACACTGTCTCAGGGAACTTGTTCCCAACAGAGGCTCTTACCCCAAAGCCATGAATGATTTACTTTTAATATAAACTTGAGCAGATTCAGGGTTAGCTCTAAATCTTCTAAAATCTTAAGATCTGATAAAACTTCATTCCTGCTCCTTGGTCCCCCATTCTGCTTTCCTGAGTCAAGACAACCAGGTGAGTTGTAGAGAGCACGCAAGAATCGGGCATTCCCCAGGTATACCGGTGAAAGTGTGTGTCACAGGTGTGCAGTCACCTGTCAGGTGTGTCTGCATGGAAAGGGGTGGAAGGTTACCAATGTGAAGCCAAGGGACACCCGGGCGTCTCCTGGCTGCCTGTCCTGGTGTCTTGGCGTCTCAGCCGGCTGGCCCAGGACTCTGTTTGACTAGGAACAGAGACACGGCAGTCCCCGGAAAGGCAGGAGGCAGGTGATGGCAAACTTCCAGGGAAGGGAGAGGAGCGGGGTGCTAGGCCTCACACATGCCAAGGGTCGACTTGTGTTCCTCCAACCTCCAGAAATTTGAAATTCTGATACAGTACTGTAGACTTCAACCCTAGGTCATTGTGAGGATTTCATATTCTAAAATTCCCACAGTACTGGAAAAAAAGTCTCCAGTGGTCCATTACAGGGAGAGCCCACAGCTGGTTATGCCTGTGTCTTGGAGACAGAAATGCATCTCGCTGTGGACACTTGTCAAACATCATCAACTGGGTCCTGGTGCTTTGCTATATAGTTTTAAATCCCACGATATATGTTAAACTTCTTTAAAAAAGGTTACCATTCTTTGAATACATGGCTTCCATCATATTTAAAGAGAAAGAGGACTCAACAGACTAGAAATGACAAATGAGGGAACTGGAGTACTTGCTTAAAATAAAATCTGAAATTCCAAACAAACTCCTGCTCTGGGCCTATTTCCTCGTCGGTGGGGACCAGATGCTGGATAGACCTCGAGGAGTCTGTTTATTACAGGCCAAGGACTAATCTGTTCACCTGCTCCCTCCACTCACCCCAAAAAAGGGGGGGGGGGGGGGGGGGGGTGGACTATAACCAAAACCCTTCACCATGGGTGACATGAAAGACATTTTTACTTTTACACAGTGCTTTACTCCCAAGTCTTTTGGGGAACCCCGTGTCTTGTTTTTATGGTAGCTAAGTGCAGAGAAGGCTAAATTTGAGGACCAGGTTTTTATACCTGATCTCACAAACCTCTATCTCATCACTTGCACATAAACCCTGCCTTGCCTGCCTCTTTGGGGTGTTTCAAGGTTGCAGAAGAAAACCCCACAACATCAGCAATCACTGTCTCTCCAGTCTAGTCTCTCTGCCTCATCCACGCTGCCTGGATCTGGGTCTAACCAGTTTGAAATGATTTCTTGTACACTTGACGTCCCTTCCCCATCCCCGTCAGACCCTCAGGGATTTTCAGGGCCACAGCTCAGACTCCTCTTCTCCATCTGCTACAGTGCGGCCAGCACCCTTGACAGATCACAGACCCTGGAACCACGCCGTGGATCTAAGCCAGGACCCTTGCTCTCTCGGTGAAAGCCTGTCCCTGGGTGGCCTCATCTGCCTCGTGGCTTTACATGCGAATCTTCCATCTATTTCCAGGATGACTGTCCTCAACGTTTCGAAGTCCTACCTCCTCCGCCCCTACGGCTTCTCCAAAACATGACAGAATCGAACATTAGCCTTCCTTCTCCAGTCCATTCTAAAAACCAACTGGTAAATCCTCCCAACAAGGGCAAGCCAACACTCCTAGAGAAACGCCCCTCACTACTCCCGACAATGTCCTTAGCTTAACCCAAAGCTGATACACGGCACGGGAGTGGGATCTGAACGTGTGTGGGGTCTATTCCTTTATTTCTGCCTCAGCAGAGTTTTCAATGGCAGGTTTTGGGAAAGGAAAAGGCAGTGGTTTGTCCACTCGATCTCAAGCAATAGCTGGAAAATACTCTTTGAGGCCGGAAACAAAGGGCACCCAGAGTCACCCCCATAGTCATGCCTCAGGGACCCCTTTCTTGCCACTCGGCCCCATCAGGACACCCGCCTCACCGTGGCGCCTGGGCTCTGCAATGCCCTCCGCCGAGTCAGAGCCCTGGACTAGAATCTAGTCACAGAGAACCTGGAAGATGCAGGTAAGGGAAGCTAACTGACTGACACATCAGAACTTTGTAAGGACCCTAACGAGAGCGGCTATCTCTGCTTTAACAAATTTGCCTGAGGACAGCCCAGCATCATTGACAGACAAGGACTCTGGTGTGACTGAGGGCCATGCTGGCCACAGGCGGAGCTAACACTTGCACCTGTGCCTCCTGCCCGGTCCGTGTGCCAAGCACTGTGCCACATGGCACTCAGCTGGCTCCACTTCACTTACTTTAGGACTGTCTTTGAGGAGAAACCTTTCGATGTTTACCCTAAGTCCAGCCCCAGCCAGAGCAGGAAATGTCTTTATCCTTATTGGGTGAGGAAGAGCCAGGGAGCCCTGAGGAGTCGTTCGCACCTGCCCCTGAATTAGCACCTCCACCTGCCCCTGAATTAGCACCTCCACCCGGCGTCCATGCGCCTCTCACCAGTGTGGGCTTGTGGGGCTGCTCAAGCCCAGCGCCCGGGGGAACTAACCTACTAGGTGCTCACTTCCCGGGATGAGAGGGAGATCTGATCAAGCACTGGGGGGGTCACCCATAGCTTCTGGATTTGCTAAAATTCTACATCCCAGCTTTCCCAATCAGCACCCACTCCCATTTCTGAATTTCGTGCCAGGATGCAGAATGCTACCAGGGGGCCCCGCAGGAAGGCAGGCAACGGTTCAAGCGACTTGTAAACTCAGATCCGGTCCAGCTGCCCTCCTGGATCCTCGGCCCCAGAGCAGACTTTACTCAGCCCTGAAAAGTGGATCTCACTCTCTTGAAGGCTCGGAGCTGTTCTGTGGGAGTTACCACAGCCTTCATGGTGGCTCGTTGTTCTTACTAAAATGCTCTGCGTTCACCCTCAGGTTTCAAGAAGAAACACACTGGACTGTGGATGTGCTCCATGTCACCTGGCTCAAGGGAAGAGTGTCTGCGGCCACTTGAGTGAGGTCATGGATGCTGCAGCGGGCGGAAGAGCCCGGGAGGGGCTGATGCTGGAAACTGTGGCCTGCTCAGTTCCAGTCGGGCCCTCAGGCAGTCTGACCCAAGGCACCCTGGCCTGCAGACCAGCCGGCTATTGGCAAGAAAACAGCCAGGGGGACCATGAAGACCCAGGGTGGAAGAGAGGGCAGCCGGAGCTTCTGGGTGTGGCACTGTGCTGAGGAAGATGTCACAGCACCCCCTGAACTTCCTCTCAGAGGGCTGTGGACAGGGACCAGCCCTGGAGTGTTTACAGCAGTGTGAATCCCCGGGTAGGAGGGGAAAAGGGTCTGCTCCACACAGAGAAGCCAGCAGCAAACCAAGGAACGTGCTTAGCAAACCCAATTATTTGAACGTTACAAAAACAATTTTCTGAATGGGAATTCTCTCCCTTGAGTTCACAGACAGCAACCTGATCAAACAGCTGTTTTCCCGTCGTGTTTGGCTGGATGGCGAATTCCAGCTCCGCATCCATGGTGGTGACCCGGACATTGATCTAGAAAAGAGAACACAACAAATTACCCTTAACTGAGTGCTCTTTTCTCTTAATTGTCTCCTGAGCCTTCCACGTGAACTCAAAGCCACTTAGCAATATGGCAAGTGTGTTCCTCTTCAACATCCATTTTCATGCTAGTCACCACACGCACACACACACGCACGCACCCCCAGTTGATTATGAGACAGCAGATGAGACTCACATGCGCACACAGTTTGGATTCAAATGTATGCCCTCTCTGCTTTCATACAGCACATTCACACTTAGGTCTAAGCTGTTTTTCTACAAAAATACTTTGATAACTGTTGACGTATTTTCCCATACACCCGCCCACTCTGACCCTTACAACAGCTAAGTGAGGCACCAGTGGGGGCAGCGAGCCTCCTCTGAGAATTCAGACCAAGGCAGTGAGTGAAAGAGAGAGGAGGACACATATGCCAGAATGTTCACAGCAACATGAGAAACCATCTAAATGGTGGAGAGAGAAATGGTTAAAAGACTACAGATGCATCAAAGAGGATAGAATATTATGTGGTCATTTGAAAGGGTAATGATGAAGACAGTAGAAACATGGAAAATTGCTTCAACAATTAAAAATGACAGTCAAAATGGTACGCATCCTCTCAATGCAAATATGTGAGATCTAGCTAGACAAAGGATGAAAGTAAAATGCAAAAATGGAAGTATTATTAGGATGGCGAGACCACAGGAAATTGAGGTGGTGGTGATGGGAGGGCCTTAAAATGGTCTCGAATGTTGCCACATAGTTGTTTGTTCAAAAAAAATGTATTTCAAGGTAGTTTTCAAATTTATCACTTGAGAAAACCCAGATCTACTAGCCTAGGAAAAACAGACAAATCTACTTTATGTCACTGTCCCAAAGGAAAAGACCACAGCCGCACAGCAACTAGACGGCTTAACATAAGAAATGCTTGCTTCTCACCATTTTTCAGGCGAAATATACAGATAGCTGGATAGACCCACATCCTGAATTCTTCTAACCCCAACATAAATGTGATGAAGACAGATGAGCTGCTCTGACAGTCGGCTGACCGACGTCTCGGTCTCCCACACGACACACTTCTAGCACCCAGCACACTGGTTGTTACTCCAGGAGCAAAACTAGTCTCTGCAAATCATTTTCTTCCTAACATTCAAGACTGTGATAACGGACAGAGACTCTGAGACACACCCAGCATGTCTTGAAGGTTCTCTGACCACGATTACTAGCAGAGAAGTGCGCCTTCATTTTCCAGTCTTAAAAAAACTTTCCCCTCCAATCTCAGGCCTACAAATCAAAGGACTGAAGTTTACTGAGAAGCAAGATTAGGCATATTTTAAATTCTTCGATTATATTAAAATATAAAAACCTAGTAAGTTTCTTTCTCCTAAATTATTTATAAATAATTTATTTTAAAAAAATCACAAAAGAGCTGTTATGAAGCATACAATAAAGCAGATATCTCTCTTAATGAGAGAGGCAGCCCCAGAGTCGAACATTTCAGAACAAACATAGCTCCAAATTACACACTCAAAAGCCCACGATGACGTATCACACTCAAAACTAAAGGGGGAGGCGGAGGGGCTGACAAATGTAGGGCCTCAGATAAGGCTTTTTTTTTCTTTTTTCTTTACTGATTCAGAAACTGAACCACCCAGTAATTTGTCCTGAATGCTACCAGCCTGGTGAAGACCAAGAGGAAAGAGCAGAGTCCACGCACAGGAGACTTCAGACTCAACTCTGAATCTTGATCACTTCTCAATTTGACAACAGCAAGAAAATGTCACCTCCTGAAACCAAAGCTATTCACATCAGAAGGTGACCATCGCACCATTATTAGCCATTCTGCAAACTGATTAACGGGAATTCAGAAAAAATGACTTGAAGATTCTAAATCAGGTATATATTTGACTCAAAGTTCACAGAACTCTTTGAAAAAGCAAATAACCAGTAAAATGAATACTTTTACTGAGGTTGGATGTAAGAAGCCAGCAGAACGTAAGTGAACTTCTTAAAAAAATTAAGCATATTGAGAAGCTCTGTATAAACTACACCTGCCGTGACAAGGACCTAATTGGAGCATCAGTAGCTCCAACAGAAGCCACTTTGCCAAGTTTGAGCTGGTCTGCTCTTTCCACAGACTTCTTTCCTCGTGCTCCAGCACCCTGGGTGGTCATGAGTCTGGTATATAACCTTAAACAAAGATGGCAGCCTAAGGATCAGGTTAAGTTCCTCTGGCACTGCAGTAACAAATAAAATCAGGACAAGCAACAGGAAGCAAACAGCCTTTTCCTCCCTTGTTGGGTGCGCCGGCCCCAGCCAAAGGAGTACCTCCCAGTTCTGATTTGGCGATGCACCACAAATTTTATCTTCAGAACCCCCCCTAAAATTATAAAGTCAATTTTAATCAATATATGTGTATACTTGTATACAGTGCATGGTCTACTGTCTTTTTTCTGATATTATTTGACAAATATACAATATATTATTCTCGAAACTGAATTTTTTACAATCCTTTTTTTTTTCTTTTGAGGAAGATTGGCCCTGAACTAACACCTGTGCCCATCTTCCTCTACTTTATATATGGGATGCCTGCCACAGCATGGCTTGATAAGCAGTGGGTAGGTCCATGTCTGGGATCTGAACCGGTGAACTCTGGGCCGCCAAAGCGGAGTGTATGAACTTAACTGCTACGCCACTGGGCTAGCCCCAACAATCCTTTTTTTTCGTTCAATCTTTATATATTTCTATTTTTATAGTCTTATTTGTTCAATGTATATAGAGTCATCTCATTCCATGGAAAATAACTTGTCTTTGCATCTCATTTTCCACATTTGCTTTAAAGTCTCTATCATTTATATATGTTTGTATTATTTCTGCACCTCTAGGGTTCCTCAGTGATTTTCTAGGCCAAGAAGCTCGACTGCATGATTCTGGTCAAATATTAAACATGTTTTGCTGTAGAGGATCTGTTTGGTACCAGACTTGATCCCAGAAAACTGACATTGTTTAACTTTTAAATATCCTTATCTTAGTACTTTCTGGCCTTATTTCCAAGGTAATTTTAGTCAACAGATGTATATACCATATACAGTGCATGCTCTACAATCTTGATATCGAGGTTGAGATGGGAGAACCCAAGAAATCTAAATGACCCATGAGTGAACAGTATGTTAACGATCAATGGCTGAGCCGCTGTGCCTCCACGGGTGTGTATGTTACTGGAGTGGTCAACACCCTACTAGTGTTTCTTCCCGGGGGTGCTCCTGGCATTCCGGGCAGCACGTTCATTCTGCAGAATGTTTCGCATCCCCGGGCCCGCCCACTACACACAGCTGTCCCCAGTCACTGGGGCATCTCAAAGTGCTCCCGCACGCACACATTTCCAAAGGCTCTGGGGAAAAGGGGCCGCTCCCACCCAGATTAAGGAGCACAGCACAGCACTGACTTAATCAACAGTGAGGAGTAGTTCCATATTTAGAAAGTCTACTAAGATTGTTTTCAATTGTACAGATCTTTAATAACGTGCCGAAACGCAGCACAAACTTTTATCACAGTTTAAAAGGAAACAATTACTCAGACGACAGGACCATTTATATACATATTTTGGTCCACTTATCCAGGGGCTTTAAAAGAAATCAGGCCTTGGCAATTAAAGAAACACATCTAAATCCCAAATTTCCTTTCCATTATCTGTGTTTTACATTTCCCACGGTGAGCAATTGTTTTTTACTGAACTCAATGTACTTGGATGAAAGCCGGCGCTCGTATTTGCAATGGTGCCACAGAAATAAAGTGGGGTTGCGTGGGTATGCCCGATAAACATGGGGATGGTCCCACAAAAAGCGGGGGGGCCATAGGCTTAAACATAACACCACACGAACCCAGACCACGTGCAAAGACTGGAGAAAAGAGCGCACACTTGGCAATTTTTATGGTCTTGGTACGTCCCCCTGGGTCACATGCTTTTATCAGAGGCAATATTTGCTGAAGACAGCAAAGCCACCCAGGAATGTGGGATACAGATGTGTACAGAGAACGTGAGTTAGTCATTTAAGTCCACCCCCAAAAAGGCAGTGCTCACGTCAGGCTTGCCAAATACTAAAAACCTTTCTAACATCTTTTGTTTGGAGGGGGCGGTGGTGATTAAAGTTTAATTTTGCTTGTGCACCCCCCGCCCCATACATACGCACAAAGAACCATGTGGTTGATGATGTAGATGATAATTTAATAATTCATGTCTCCCCTCCAAATGCTACTCCAGTGAAAGCTAAGACACAAAGCCACATTTAGAGTTCTTAAATGTCAGAACACATAAGGAACCGGACATAATCATACTCCACTATTTATAGCGGGAATTCATAAATAAGTGTAGATATGGGAGTGAAGTTAGCACTCTACAGATGAAAACCAGTGAGGTCCTTCCACAGCTACATATCATGTTAGTATGTTATACTAACTAACATACTATGTTAGAATAAGATGACATCTTAGACACAAGGCAGAAAAACTTGGTATTGAAGATGCCTGAACCCCTCAAGGGAAATGAGGCTCTCATGTATATTTTTCACACTGACTGGTTACTCAGCAGAAAAATCTTCTTTTTTGCCCCAGATAGCAGCCTAGCTTAGCAGGTGAGTTGTGTTTTCATTTCAGGAGACGTAAGTTTCTGATCTATTACAAGAATATCAGTATACGCAAGAGACAGAGGCCAAAAAACAAAAATAGGAACGAACGTAGTTTTATTTCTAAAACAAGAACAAAACTGGCTAGTAAAACGTCTTAAATTTAAGCAACACGTGCACTTTTTTCACGAATAACGATTAGAGTTTCACAGGTATTTGCACCAGACACCTCGACTATATGATGCATATATTATTTAATATCAGGATTCAACACTTAAACCTAACTGTGCCTTAATGAAGATAATGAAACCTAATTGTAATACTCTCTCTCCTCCCTCTGCTTAACAATCTGTTCTTTAAAAAATTCCATTTGC